TCTGTATATGTTTTTTTTCCTCTTTTAAACTCTAAAAATCATGTTACATTATTGAATGATTTCAGTCCGACGAAATACATTCTAAATTAAAGTCAGTTCACAATTTATGACATATCCAATTGCATATAACAAAAGGTATTGTAAATCAGCGATATCCCCAGAAGCGCCTTATACAAACATACCGTTTCGGGCGAATCAATATTTACACATAGAATTAAATTGCTAATTTCAATACCATCGATTTTGCAAGACCAGACGGTTTCTAGACGGACAATGAAATATAAAATAATGTTTTATTGCTATATATTTATTTAAGATCATTTTGAAATAATCTTCAAAGAGCTTTTTTCTTGCAATATGCATGCCATTCGTATTCGTTGTAAAAAGGACGCGTTGACAAACAAACAATGCCTGAAGGTACTTCCAAGTCTTTATCTGGATTTGGTGACTATAAACTGTGAAATTCCTGACTAAAGATTATTTGAAAATGTCTGTTTACGTTAATACAAGTTTTTACAGAATGCAATGACAAATTGTTCTGTAGCTCCAACGAAGCAAGCCATTTAAGAATAATCGACATTATGCATGTTATATCATGTTTAAATCCCGGAAATGTCTGTATATCATTGCTAAAGACTTGAAGTTTATAATGCAACAATATGGTATGCAGCAATATGAACTAAAATAACCGTCCTGGTGACGAAAAATGTAACATTCGTTTTATTTGCAGATTTTCCCGGCTCTTTTATAATTTATTAGTATTATACTTAAATAATGGTTTATATCCACTTAACTGACTAAATTGGTGCCCTAAATTATACAGAGCTATTTCCACAGATTATCAAAAAAAAAAATAGGTTGTGCCTCCCCTTATTTGAATTTCTTGCGATTTTCTTTCTTTTTTAAATGTGTGTTTGTTTGATCGCCATTTTGCTTTGATGTAATAAAAACTGTGGATTGACTAAATAAGAAGTCATGAACATATCGGCAAATGCAAAAAGAGTTCTTATTGATTTAATATAGCATTTTGAAGTGCTCGCGATCACTGGATAAATATTGGTGGTTGCGTGCATTATAATGAAGGGTACATTTTCTTTTGACAATTGTTGAGATATTGATCTGCAAACATTGGCCTTCACGTTCAAATTATATTATATTGACATATTCAGTTAAGCTATTAATTAAATCCAGCATGAGGTCGGGAAAATTCGGAAATTTTCGTCAGGTTCCGTATTATACAAGGAGCGAGATTCGGAAACCTCTCCGATTTCCTATAATCATCTTTGGGACAATTAGAATTTAAGTTGTTTTATGCGTTTTTATATATAAACAAAGCTTTGCATTCGAGGCACTACTCGATACTTATTATCAGAGGTTAGTTTTTGACACTAAACCACTGAAGTACGATGCCACTGATGTGTGGTAAACAAGGAGTTCCCGATCATCGTTAATTAAAGTCCGTCACGATATTAATCAAATTTGAAATAACTATCAACATCTATTCTATTATATTTTTGATTCATTAAAACGTTTTTATCACCAATATCATATATATAAGTTGTATTTAACAAAATGTATAAGGTATTTTCTTGTTTTCCTGGCCCTTTACCGAAGTTTGACGGAAAGGCTCGAAAAGTTACGATATCCAGGGGCGAAAACTCTTGACAAATATATAATACGGAATGTTACGGAATGGGACATATCAACACGATCTTTTCATGGATGAACACCGAAAACAAATACGCCCTAGGGAGTAAATTCCGATGAAACAAATGTTTTTTGTTCTGTCTATTTTATGACAGACAGACAGAAGGTTATGCTTTTCAAAGTCAGGAATCTTAAATCAATACGTTGCCTATTGAAATCTAATGAATCGGAGTGTAATTTGATTTGTCCGGCGTCATAGCAACGCTAAAATGTTTGGTTGTATACAGACCATCTCACACCCGTTATAGCTAGCTGTATTCAAATATTGTCTATAATGCAAAGTATTGATTTAGTAATCGATCAGGTAGTAACTACTATCAAAGCACTGGAATTATTTGCAAATTATAAAAAACACAGTTAATTCATTGGGCCTTGGGTGATCTCCCTTTTATCGTAATAATTGTAAATACCCGATTTTATGATAATAAAAGATACGTTATTTCTTGTATAAAAAAAAAACTTGATACAAATTGTAAATGAAAATACCAATGACTTGTTAAATTTGCTGCATTGTGACTTAAATTGCAATACGTAAGTTTTTTGTCCAGGACTTCATCTGGTTAGATTGCTTCTTAGAACTGAAAATTAACAATCTGAGAAATGAAAATCGAATTCCAGTTAGCTTTTGGTACAAGTTATGATATCCTGTATTTTTGATTGAATATTGAACAGATCAACTTGAAAGCTTGAACATGGTAAAAGTAAAACTTTATCAACTTCCATGGTGATAATCTGGCATAAGTGAAAAAGATGACAGTGGGATTACATGTATTTGTATAATTAAGAAATGCACAATTAAGACATTAAGTTGTTAAGACCTTCAAGTTAAACATATCTTTAAATGATTATATTGTGTATGACGATATATTTGTAGAAGTTTGAAGAAAATTGTTTGACTTCATTATTATTATTATTATTTTTATTATTATTATTATTATCACTTTAAAAATTTATAGCAAAAAATAAATAAATAAAATAAAAAGCAAAACTTTAAATTCAAAGGAGAGTAATTCTGAAGTTGCTAAAGTTATGAACCGCATCATATATGATGTGTATGATGATGATGGACATAAATTTAAAGTTAAAAGTACACCCTTATAAAAATAATAATTTCTAGTAAAACATTACAATCTTTATTAGTTTCAAGGGGGAAATACTTCTAATAATATGGGTGCCAGAGTTATGACCCTCATCACAGTAAACATTTATATGTGAAGGTTCAAGTAGAAACTTATTAGTCGCCGGTAGAAACCGGCGACTATATTTGTAACAGTTTAATATTATATCTATGGTAGGAGAAGGCCTTAAAATCTGAATATAAAAACAAATCAATTACTGAACAATTAAGGACCACAATTATTTTTCATAATCTTAAAAATTCGAAAATAAAGTAACATTGCTAAATGAAATGAAATATACAAATGTTGACATCTTAAAAAGCAACATTACAATTTTCATAAAATGAATTAATAACGTATCCCTATGGACCAGTCATTGAATTTAGGGATACTTTTACTTTTTTTCTAAGTGTCAAGCGTTGCTATTTTATGATTGATAAATCATGAATGATATTTGAAATGACACATTTAAATTTTTTGGTTGTTTATATCTTATGAGACCTATTATATTTCATTATTTTATCTTATTATAAACAGATTCTCCCTGTTCTATTGTAAGAATCACGTGACTACCCGTTGTAATGTTAGTGTTATAGAATCTATTAATAGTAACAGATTGCTGACAAGACATACAAATAACTTGTGAATACATGTAGTTGGAAACCGGTATGGCGGCTAATTAGATGCAAATGTATAAATAATTACAAAGTTATCTTTCATTAATCAGTTTCATATTTTATATCATTAGAAAGGTCTGTATACTCATAATTTGCACATTAAAGAATTAAATAAATTTTCAAAACCTTTTCATTTTTTCTTGGTAAAGGGTTAAACTTGGCCCTTTCTGTCAAAGTTCAATAGTTTAGTTTAGGTTGAACATCACAAAATAGATTTATGCTAAAGAGGCACATTTATTGAAATAAAAAGTGGTAATCGTCGTCTACGTTATATTCCGTCAATTTCCGTCGCGCAGGTTACCAAAACGGTATGACGGATCGTATTAGATACATAATAAAGAAAACTAATAAAATATCTTTTTGTTAATATTTTATCGAACTGAAAGGCAATTAAACGTTTACTATATCGTATGTAACGACAGGAATATTGATATCAACAAAAAAAAAATTTTTATGCAGATACCACTTTTACGGTAGAATTGCATTGTTTCATGCAATAATTAAAACATATATATTTTCAAATATTCGATTCTGAAGTATACAAAACGGATTTCGATGTCTGGTATATCGGTATATGTATAAGGTAGAATTACAAGTAGAATTACAAGAATATCACTCGCCTTACAAAATTAATCAAAATTATGAAATAAATAAAATGCTAGAAATGAAACACAATTTATCAACTTATGTTTCATATAGTTAAAAGAAATAATAAAAAAAAAAGTTTTATGAAAACTGCAAAAGGTATTTTCAAAGATTCGAACTTGGCCTACTAGGGCACAACTTCGTCCTACTTACCACCTGTAGGCCATCAAGCAATATTAATTGATTTAATATCGAGATCTATACTATCAATAAAATCTTTAGCATAAATCATAATAAGTTACGTAAACTAACGAAATACTTGCTTATTTAATAATCATAGCAGTTCCTTGACAATATTGCTAAGCAAGTTTGCTTCATATACATGTATGATGTTTTATTGTGAATAAACAGTTACTCAACATATTGTTCCTCTTTTCTTTATACCTGAACCATTAATTAAACTGATATTCTTTTATATTTATGATGATACAATCATTTTCTATCCGGCGACTTGATGCTTTAGCATCAAAATCTCTACTTGTATATATATATATATCATTAAAGAAGTAAAGGTAAAAAATAAGGTTTACTGCAGAAAAATAAGCTTGACACTGGCCCCGATGTGAGTTGGACATTTCTCCCATATGTTTCGTATAGTCGAGCTAAAATGATGTCATATCAAAAGAATAACGATAATTTTCAAATAAAAAAAAATGAAATGTAAAAAATTGTCCTTTTCCGAGGCATACATTTTAACTATCACAAATAAGTCCAAAATAAAAACCTAAATTACACAATAGAAAGTAAATACAATTGACACGATGGGTCTATTGATTTCAAACAAATCTTTCTAACAGAGTGCTGTATATTGAACTTCCATTTATGTTCTTGTTTTTGACATCACAGTTAAATTGACGTGTAAATACAAAAACATTCTTTCTACCTAGCAATATGGTTAACTTGAGTAAAAGGTAGTGGAAAATTGTGTTCATTGAAACATACGATATATTGCATATGCATTTAAGCTATTTTTTACATAGGAATTTTAAAATACAAACGCCGATAATTAAATAGGAATTAAAAAAACACGGTATGGGAAAAAGTACTGGAAATAAACCGTGTTTGATTTTTTTTCAAAAAAATAAATAAAATTGAAGGACTGTATTGAGGTACTTGATTTTATTTTATACGGAATATAATTCTATATTGTCATACTGTAGTAAAGCAAATGTGCCTTTAGTACAGTTACTATGCGTTCGGTTTTTAACACAATATCGTAATGTATAGTTAAACGGAGATCATGTTCTTGTCTTTAGAAAAAAGGTAGAATGTCGTTCATGTATGTCGAAGATAGATATCTCATTTTTGTAGGTCGGAGGTGCTTAGTTTATTGTTTTTAATGCAAGTATGGCGTATTGATATTTGCATCGGTCTGTAAAAGTAATCTTTAACAATACAATTCGAAAATATTGGATATTAAATGCGTGTTGAACTTATATATTTCAAATAGTACACTTTTACAAGTATGAAGACAACCGCAAGAAGGATAGCAAGATGTTTTCCTGTATTCTTTACAAGCAAACGTAAACGTACTAGGCGAATCGTTGCCCTGTTCTTTACTCTCTTATTTCTCGGGATATATTTTGTTCTGGCTCAGTTTGAACAAACAGGATTAATTGGATTGAAAATGTCAAACACACGGACGTTTGCATCGGAGAATTCTTTCAGCTGGGATTCTGTTTTAGATGCTTTAGAGCATACGGAGGAAGGAGACTTTCTGCGTTATGATAAAGGAAAAACAAAGGGTAAGCAAACACATGACAAACTTAAAGTGATAGTTTTACTGCATTCACACAATGATCCAGGATATAAGTATACTTACGATCAATATTATTTCAATAAAACTAAGCATGTACTATCTTTAGCCGTGGAGAAGCTTATGAAATACCAGGACATGACCTTCATCTGGACAGATACCTGTTTCCTAGACAGAATATGGAAAGAGCTGAGTGATGAAATGAAAGCCAATTTGAAGTATCTTGTGAAAACGGGACGGTTTGAAATATCACTAGGAGCATGGGTATCTGCAGACGAATGTGTGACCCATTACTACTCTTATATAGACCAGTTAATAGAAGGGTATTCTTGGATAAGGCAGCACTTTGACGTGTTCCCGAATGTCTCTTTTAACATGGACCAATTTGGAACGTCCTCGTCTATCCACTACATCAGGAGAAAAGTTGGAATAAGACACTCGGTGTATAATCATATACATAAAGGAACAAAGGTGTTCTTTAGAAAAAACCGATTGTTGGAATTCAACCTGAAACAGTCCTTAATAAACAACATGGATTCTTTTGTACATGTAAGTTATATCTATATCTATTTTTATTATGTCGGCATCATTGTTAGCAATATAAGGTGATTAAAAACACAGGTGTATGCCACCGACCCGACAATTATTGGTTCGAGACCTTTCAGGTCAATTTTTTTTTACAACACCAATAGCTCTAATTCCAGGAAGTAGATTCAAATTTGGCCCCTATAAGTTTGCGATCGACCTAAACGGAATGTGTAATAGTAGATCATATTTTAGTTACCATCATGAGTACGTGTAGTAGGAGGAAACGCTTGAGGAATTAGGTAGATAATATTATCTATCTGACAATTCACATAAAACAATGTATAAATGTTTCCTTTCAATTTGTTTTGTTATTCTCAACATGCAAAAGGCTTACCCTGCTCGGCTTGAAAGAAACAATAAGAGTGGTATGCATGTACATTGTATATGTATCATTGTGATTTTCCTGCGTATTTTGTAAACACTTGACTCGGATAACAAAAGACTAAATGTAACGGCATTTTAATAACTTTGCTTTGTACCATAACTACAAATGAATCACGTTTAAATTTTCAGGTTGAGCCTTTTGACGATCTTGGTTTCAAAGGAAGTTGTGGTCCATCTGCCAAAATTTGCTCAAAACTTGCTTTAACAAAAACTACCCTGTCATTTGATAAGTCACTTCCACGAAATGCCACAAGTATGGATTTTGCAGAACAGCTTGTATCTCAAATAAGATTGAAGAGCGAAATGTATTTACATAATGTGCTTTTCCTTCCAGTTGGTGACGATTTGGTGTATATTACTTCACAAGAATGGGACAATCAATATAAAAACTTGAAAAAACTAATGCAATATATTAATGATAAAAGTAAATGGAAGATAGATATTCAGTTTGGAACTCTTTCACAATACTTTAGAGAATTAGAGAAGGTTGCCTCAAAAAGTGTTAAACAATTCCCTACAGTAAGTGGAGATTTGTTTCCGTACACAAGAGGGCCTAAATATTGGAGTGGATACTTCACAACCCGTCAATTTGTAAAACGATTAGGGCGTGAATTGCAGGAGTCTGTAAGAGCTACCGAAATGTTAATAGCGTTCACAATTCCAAACACTATTGAAAGAATTCAACCAATATCAAATAAAGTTTAGGTTAATTTCCATATCAAAACTTATTACACAGCCAAGGGCGTCAGTTGGGAAATATTTCAGCATCATGAGCAATAACAGGAACCTCTGAAACTTCCCGTCATAAAAATTATAAACAAAGGTTGCCACGGTGTATGTAGAAACACAAGACATTTCTGGCGTTCCTTTAAGTCATTAAATTAGCAAAACCATGCGAATCGGTTCGGGAATCACAAAAAGACCAGACAATTTGAAAGTAAAGCCATTGCAACAATCTAAGTTTATTCCAACAACTTTTTAGGGATAATGCTGAAACTTTAAACCAGAAAAGTTCTGGAGGTTTTTATTTTCAGCGAAATAAAAGTTATCTTATCTTATATTAACTCTTTTACGCAGCCACGAACTGAACTAATATCATTTTCAGTTAAACATGAGTCAGCTTTTATAAATGTTTCCCAAACTACGGAAAAAGGTTTTAAAACTATGATTTTAAAAAAGGGGTGGACAACATTTCGTTTTTCCCATTTATTGCACAATTTTCCCCCTTTGGGAGTCTTTCCAAAATATCGTATTTTTTAAAAACGGGGGAAAAACCGGCGAATTTAGAAATGAAGTTAAGGTGAAACTGTCGCAACATGACGAACGCCTCGTATGTGAAAATAGTGAAATGCGTGTGGAATTTTCAAGCACTGGTGGTTCACCAGAAGTGATATGTTCAAAGAAAGAAAATAAATGTAGGGATTTTGAGATCGAACTGATACATTACACCACCGCGAGTGATGCATATACATTTACTAACATCAGTGACTATGTAAAAATAACAGAGGTGTTACAGGTACGTAAACTATCTGGAAACTCATATTGTTCAGTAGAATTTGATTATAAATTCATCAAAATTAGATATATACTAGAGCAAACAAAAGGACTAAATGGTCAGCGTTTAAAGATGGACATATATGACAATCTGTCTGGTGGTGATTTTCTAGGAGACTTTGCTATAAGACTAAAAACCGGTATTGATAATAAAAACGTTTTTTATACTGATTCAAACGGAATGCAGTTAAAGAAACGAATATATAGAAGTAATTTATCATTTGGTGCTAATATTTACCCAATGACATCAGTAGCAGTTATAGAAGATGAAGTAAACAGATTGAATGTGTATTCAACACAACCTCATGGCGTGGTTAGTTTAAAACCAGGCTCTCTAGATATAACAATTGACCGTGTAGTGGTATCTAAAAGTGATTTAACTGTCACTGAATTTGTTGAAAATACCTTTGATAATGTACCTACATTGTCGCATTTATACTTCAATTTTGAAGCGGTTCGCGAATCAGTAAATAAACGTAAAACGTCTGAAAATTTAAAACCATCTCTTGAATCTATTTTAACAGACGATTATATTCAGCACCCAGTCTTTACTTTTTATGCACAATCAGATTTCAAACCGATGCAAAATACATTTCTATTTCTTAATCAATTAGTACCTAAAGAACTTATTATAGCAAATGTGAAGACTTTATTTGGAGACAACTTGGGTTATAATGGAATTTCTTTAACATTATTCCGGCGGTTTATTTCATCTGAACGTGTCAGTCAAATTCCCATTGTTTTTAATCCAGAATCCCTTTTCAAGTGGACCAAAAGTAAAACTCGTTTCATGTTTAATGATGATATTGTTACTAAGCATTCATATACGTTCATGCCATTCGATTTGCAAACGTTTTTGATTAAATAAATAATTTCAAATGTGTGTTTTATTTTTTGTTTGTTTGTTCACATGCATTTTTTCTGTAATTCATAATTATAGTTTGGCTGTCAAATTTGAGTTGTTTTTTCTGCTTCCCATTTTTTTCATTTATTGACTATTATATTAAACAAAATTCGTAGCGGTTTATAAAATGTATATGTTTTGATTTCCTAATTATGTCTTTCCTAAAATTATCCAACTTCTAAATTAAGATATATTAAAATAAAGATATGTTGAAAATAAACATGCCTTAGATACTACTTAAAAGATAAATTGAGTTTCTTGAAATATTTAAAAGTGGCTATGATCAACCAGAAGTTATTAAAAAATAGGCAAAAGATATAAACTTCACAACACATGTGAATGTATTAACAGTAAAAACTCTGAAAATCGGACCATGTCTGGACTTCACAAGGATTCCGGTTTACAGAGGTTTTATCTTAGCCATATTTTAATTCCTGTTTGCAATAATGTCTTGAGTAAATTTGTTTTGCTAATTCATAAATATAATTCAGAAAATTAGAAATGAAAATACATTTTTTTTGCTTTTGTAATCTATAATTAAAGGAATTTGTTATAATCATTCTAACATAAAATTAATGCCCAAATAATGTAAACTCCAAGACCAATCTTTTCAGCAAATCATATACAACAATCTCTTTTTGAGTAACAAAGTTTCACAATTCTCTTCCACATTTTATATAAAAAAAACAACAACAAATTAAAATATTTTGAAAAAATATACCTATCCAGTGAAAGACACAATCATGATGAAAGAGCTAGAATTCAATTGCCAATAAGAAATTAATACAAGTGTTTAGTTAAAAACCAGGAGACCATTAACTGGTAATTGAACATGTCATCTGTTGTATGTTTGTATACACAGAAACTTCAATTTCAATTTAACATCAATTTATATACAATTAGTATCAGAAGCAGTATAGTACAGTACTTGGGGACCTTTTGTGTGCAAAAAAGGTCCATAGAGAAATGTTATACCAATGTAAAGCATACCATTTAAAGTTTACAAAAATTTTGGGTAGACATGTTAAGTCATGGTACGTTTTGAGAAATCCAAGATGGCCGCCAAATCATTGAAAAATAGCTAATTCGCTTTTCATCTGATAAAATTAGTTTTTTTTAAATCTATTTTAGTACAGGTGATGTAAGAACTTCACACAAAAGGTCTCCAGGGACTGTTCTAATAGAAAATCATCCGGTTTTCGGAATTAAGAGGTACCGGTATTAAGAGGATATTTTTAATGAACTTATAGGGAAAAAATACAAAATTTCTAAAATCGCCTGGTTTTCAGAGGGTCCGGTTTTTGAGTTTTTACTGTATATGTATTAGTTTGTTATAATTGAGACTCTCACTTTGAAATCATTATCTAAACGTCGTTTTTATTTATCATGTAAATTGATATCTAAATATGGTTGTCGGTCGCATATCTCATTCATTTTTTCCTATTCATTTTTAACCGGTGAATCAATAGTTTTTTGAAATAGGAACTAAACGAAAAAAATGTATCGTTGCCTTTTAATACTTTACTAAAACAACACAGATATTTTTTTAATTATTTTTTTTTATGTATACATAACACGATAAATAATCTGCATAGAATAACACGACACAATACGAACACACATTATTCTTATAGAACAGTGTAAACACGAGATACAAAACTAGTTATACATCGATAAATAGTAGTCCGTATAGAACATTACCATTTTAGAGTGTACGGGGCTACTAAATATCTTATGTCGGACAGAGTTAAATAATGTTTATAAGTGAGATGAATTAACGCTTGGATATCATGACAATTCCAAACAAATTAAGGGCTGCCAGACGACGACTTCTCGGCGTGAATAAAAAGAAAATCGCCGGGATATGCTTATTGTGTTATCTGCTATATAAAATGACGATCCTCCGAATCTATTCAAGTAAGTAGAACACGTTTTTATCGCTTAATACTTGATATTAACTGAAATATTTTTAACATCCGCAACGGTTACTTTAAAACTCTTGAAAAGTCGTTTTTAGATGATCCATTTCATTTATATGTCTATAAACATTCGAGTATGGTAGCATATTTTCTAGCTGCTAATCGTTTTTAAATGGTTGAGTAAAGATTCAGCAAGATTTTAAATCCGAAACCAAAATAAAAGCATACACAGATTTTGGTATTTTAATTCGTGCTCAACGAAGTGTTTAATTTTCTATTTCAAATTGAATGACCGTATGCAACTTTATACATTATACACACAACGCACTTCAATATCCGCTTTTTTTTCTATATTTTCGAAATATGATATGTTGGATATTCAACAAATGAAATCCATGCCTAAACTTAGATGTGTTCAAGGACATTTATTTCTAACTGCTTTAAAGGGACTCCACTGACGTGTTTTTGTTTTTTTTTTGTTTTTGTTTTTTTTTGTTGTTGTTTTTTACATGATGGGACTGGAAATGATTTTTAGGGATTGATGTGCCATTTGCGAAGGTCTTGACCAAAGACTTGTGTGCATAATTTCAGACCATTCACTCTTTTAATTTTTCAGAGTAACTATTCATAATTATATTGTGAAAAATGGCTCAAAACTCAAAATCGCTGCAACGCTTTATCACTCATATCAGGCTAAGTAGAGCACACTAATACAATTTTCAATAAATTTCTGAGTATTTTTCTGAATAGCTTTTACATATCTTTCTGGTTTAGGTTGCTCAGCTGATCTATTTAAGAAATTCAAATTTCATGTTTTAGTTTGTTTTTTTTTATTGTCAGTGGAGCTTCTTTAAAGATACATGGATAAACAACATTTTTAATCACCAACATCTATAGGAATATTCCGCCATTGAGGCTGCATATGAAATAAGTTTGCAGTTTTAGATAAATACAATATGGAATGTTCTAGTAAACAAACAATATTGAACCAATTGATTTTTCTTATAGATCTACACATTTTTTGTTTACTTGTTCAATAATTTGGATTTATTTGAAATATTCGTTAAATCATTCAAACATGGCTAATGCTTATTAGAAATCAAAAAGAAAATTTCCTTTGTATTTTTTCTGTTTAAATGTGTATGCAAATTTTACAGAAACGCATCAATGGTTATCATTGGTTATAGGTTAATATTATCGAGCACTTTTCATATTGGCAATACGTTAGGACACGATTTTTGCGTGTTTGTATAGGTAATCAATAAATTTGAATAATAAACGAATATAAAACATACACAAAGAAATAACTTATGTTTACTTTGAAAAAAAAACCCAACCAAGGATAGAGCATTAATAATTTTGATAAAAAAAATCATTGAGTTGGAAGTACTTAGTATTGTAATATTATTGTTTGTATGGTTCTACAATAGATAACTATGGTGGCTGATTTGTGGCATATCTTTTTTCGCTCCTCGGGGCGCCAGGTGAAAACAGCAAAACACGACGAAGTAATGATTTTGTGGTAGTTTCGCTCCACGGGGCGCCAGTCGAAGACACAAGGATACGACAAAGTGGTATCATTGTCGTGTTTTTTTGCCTGGGTTCTAGCGGAGCAAAAACACGACATGGCGCATATCAGCCACCATATATAATATTGTCTAGTTTAAAGATCGGAATAAGGCAATATTTTATTGCTTCTCACACAAAAGTCAAGTAGCTATTTAGGTAAACATCACCTGATACAGTTTTGTTTGCTTATAGCTCAGCTATCGTCTTCCTTTCGTTTCCGTTCATTGATATCTTCTTTTTTCCGAACGTTACAGCATATCATTTGTACATAGCTCTTAACGAGTGGCTACACAATTTTTAGAATTTAAAGTGATCAATTCTTATGTCGAAAAGGTGTTTAATTTTTTTAATTCCGTTTTTAATTATTATGTTAATATTGTAAAAAAATGAATAGTAATGAAATGTTTTATTATTATTATTTTTTATTGTGCATGTGCATACACGTGACAGAAAGATAGTGTACATGTGCATTTTAGTACATGTGCAGAAGTGCATAAACGTGAAAGAAAGTTTATGTCTACATTAAACTAAAGCCTGATTACAACTTTGTAAACAACTAATTAGAACAGAAAAGTCATAAAAAAACATAATTTCAAGTTTTTATAAACCGATTACGATTTTTTTTAAAAAGCCTAAATTTAACTCCAGAAAAAGAAAAAGGGACTTTATATACCCCTTATTAGACTAAAGTACTTAAAAATAGAACCTTATTAACCAAACCACTTGCCTTTACTGCTGTCGCTTCGATTTCCGGCAGAAACTCTGAATTCTTTCATATGAGGAAGTTATTCAGCTAGCTAACGAAACATCAGTGGTTCTACACATGTTCCTGAAATAATGCACGAAAGGACAACTAAGGTCTTCTTCCACCAGTAGAACTGGGAAGTCGCAATGTGACCTATACTGTGTTGATGCGACGTAAAACACAACCCAGAAATAACCCACTTAATACACCATACAGACAACAATGTCTTACTAAAAAAGATTTTGCAAATTCTTAATTAGGAGTTTTAAAAGTCAAATAAGCAGTTGTGTCCTAATTAGATCTTAACAAACTTTTTTAACCCCTTTTAAGCTTAGTTTTGGCATTATGAAGTTTAAATTAGGACGTAAAAACTCCTATTTAAAAAACTGTTAAGACCTAATTAGTATTAAGGCTTTATACCTCCTAATTTGGAGTTTATTATCCAAATTTCTATAACGCCTTACGGGTTACACAGTCTGAATTAGGCTTTTATATTTTAACTAATTTTTTTTAGTATGGAGTTAGGTTATTTTTAAAAAAAAACATTAAGACGTTCCGCTATAAACAAGCAAAGAACAGTTTAAAATTCTTAACAAAACAAATTCAATTAAATCTGACGGATAAAGTGAACTGTTGTCATGTTTTTGTCTGTAGTAATGAAGAATTTGTTGAAGAAAGAAAGATATTTTCTCTTAACTATTGTTAAACCAATCACACTGATGAATGTGTTACATTATTTTGTTCTCCTGTTTACATGTTTACACACTATTGTCTCCTATTTATCATATTTTTGTTGTTGTGTTTATTTCAGTTCCACTGCCTATGTCGGTAAACATTGACGATTACCAACCCTTCGAACCTGAGATAACCGCGGACTTTCCAACTGATGGTAGAAAAACGCCTCGGATCCCTCATATAATTCACCAGACGTATAAGACTGAACTCATTCCCCTGCATTACAAAGACATGGTAATGTCGTTTCACAAGTTTAATCCAAAGTGGGATTTTTACCTCTGGACGGATGCTTCTTCAAGAAAACTTGTTGCTGAGAAATATCCACATTTATTGAATGTTTGGGATTCTTACCCGTTAAATATACACAGAGCCGATGCTATACGATATATTGCGTTATATGAGTATGGTGGAATTTACGCGGATTTGGACATTGAATGCTTAAGACCACTTGCTGCGTTGACGAAAAAATATGCTTGCATTTTCCCAACCGAGCCGTTCGAATTCATCTCAATACATAACGACCTTCCATACCAGATCAACAATGCATTCATGCTTTGCAGAAAGGGGCATCCTTTTTTAAAACAGTTGATTGAAAGTCTGCCTGCGTACCGAATGATTCCAAAGATTATTGAAAGAACAGGCCCAATATTTGTTACAAGCCAGTTTGTTTTATACAATAGAATATTCACGTATTATGGTCCTTCGCAAAAGAAGAACGCAACTGAAAGTAATTCGCCGTATTTTTACAAAGGTGAACTGCCGGAAACGCATGAAAATGCCGTGTATGTACCGAACTCCAAATACTTCTTTTATGCTATTAATGACAATAATAATCGATTGTTTTGGATGCATTATAAATGTTATTCTAAGTTTTTGGATTTAGGTTATAATCAACAACGAGGTTGTATAGAACTAAAAAAGCGGGATAGTCGAGGAGGACCTAATAAATATGCCTTTGTAGAACATCTGTGGTATCAGGTATATAAACATGTTTGGAAAGGCTGGTTTAATAGTTTAGATCGACAATTTAATTTGTCAGATGAAATTAAAAAGTTAATTATATATTAAATTTAAATTACATGTTTGTTTCGTTTAAGGGTGGTGCTTACAATAAAAATGTTATGAATACACTGTTTTTTAGTCGACTTATCTTGTGACATAGCATTTATCTACATATATCTTCAGTTAACGGGAGATAAATCGATTACAAAATGTAAAGCATATATAAATAAAAAAAGTACTGGATTTTTTTTTGGATGCTAATCGAACTCCCCTCGTATACTTTCAAGATAGAACTCCAGCCCCCTTTTACCCCATTCCCCCATCCCATTCCTCCGAATCAATTTACGAATATATTTCTAAAGTTAACGTACATGCATTATGTTGAGATCAAGAACAAGTCGTTAAATTATTACAAGGTTTAAACTTTAAATTATACAAACTTAAAAGATTTTTTATCACTGCTGAAGAAGGCGCCGCAACTCTGATTATGATTCTGGTGCATGAGTAAGTCAACAAAGTCATATTTTCAGAGATTGTTTCGTTTACAATTTCTGATTTTGATGTATGAAAATTTCAAGGCTATATTACGAATAATCAGCCTAATGTCTAGATGCGTTGGAATGCGGAAAGGTGAGAAGAAGTCAATTGAATGATTTTAATGTTTATCTATTGTTTCAAAAATCCTTGAACTTTTAAAGGCGGCAAAATGCAATACCTGAATAAAAAGACCTGTCTGTGGCTTATTTGTTATATACACATTAATTTAAACGTGTACAGGATATCAAATAGCACAGTTTGTACAAAAATCCACATAGTGTTAGCATTGTATTCGCATCATTGATACCACAGACTTTAAACAAGTTAAATGTTGATGCTGCACATCAAAGACGCCGCCAATGATGTGACCAGTCACATGTAATTTTGAAAATCGTTCTTTATTACAGTTGATTATCCGAAAGCACTAATCTTTTTTTCTCCATATTCTTGGTATGTGCTCGTTGTTAAGTAATTCGGTTAATACTGCCTCAGTCGTTACCTTTCTCAGCCAACGGTCGACTTATAGACTGGCTTATTGGCGCGTTATTTATTATGTAAATAAAATTAGATATGGACAAAAAGAATATGATATTCAAACATGGCACCATCACTTCATTTAAACGTATATTTTATTTCATTAAAGCTCGGTAATATGTTGTACATCAGAAAAGCTATTTTTATTAGAAAATTTGAAAACAGTGTGATGTTGTTAAAACAAAACAACAATACCCCAAAACAAGTCTAAAATTTCCGCATTGCTGAATAGGCGAATGCATATCTACTAGACGCCGCGTGTACGCGGCGTCCAAGCTTTCCTCTATGCCCGGATATCGAACTTTGGACCTTTTATTCTAAAGACGCAAACTCTACCGCGTCTATATATATAAAAAAATAGGGCTATACTAAACCAGTACCAAGGATCTATCACAGGGGCTTTCATCTTGAAAAGATCTCCATGACCCTTATACATTAGGCTGTCAGCCTTCTTAACAGTAAATCCTTATTGCTTTAGAGAAAAACAGTAAATCCTTATTGCTTTAGAAAAAAACACAGAAGATCCCTATTGCTTAAGAGAAAAACGATTATTATGTATCTAGTGATACAAGAATGAAGAAAGGATATTAGAAAACGCATGTGTTCGCATTTTTCACGGCATGTTGAAAACGGCTAAAGGGAAGTAACCCAATCAGATATATATAGTCATCAAGATATAAAGGTAGTCTCCCTTTTTTAAAAAATATCGCCATTTAAAACGACAACAAACAACAAAAACAATAATTTAAGAATATCAATTAACGCATCTTTTTTCTAATCTAAAACAAACATGATGAATTTAATTGTGTCAATTCTAGATAGATGCATTTTCAAAACTTTTTTTCAGTAAGTTATGAACATATGTTAGAAATGAAAAAAAAAACAACAAAAAACAAAAAAAAACACGTTTTTGAATCTACCCAATGATGCCCGTTTTTGTTTGTTGTGTTGTTGTTGTTGTTTTTTTTATCACAAAGAAAAGGACATCGAAGAATTCTAAACCGATAAGCGCAGAACCGGTTTTGAATAAACATGTACCAAATCGACTTGAAATAAAACTTAAATATACTTTAAAAGTACAATTAAATAAAATTATGTCAAGGGAATTGATTATAACTTTGTCTTGTCTGTGTAAGATATAGAACGAACTGTTGTCATTTCTTTCCGCTTTTCTGCTTCTTTAGTCCACTTGCCAAACTTTAGAAACCTGTAATGATAAATCTGCGTAAATACACATATTCAGGAAAAAGAAACAACAAACAAACATACCAACAAAACACACATAATATGAGCCGCGTCATGACAAAACAAACATAACGGGTTTGCGACCAGCATGGATCCAGACCAGCCTGCGCATCCGCACAGCCTGATCAGGATCCATGCTGTTCGCTTACAAACTCTATAACAAGTAGAGAAACTGATAGCGAACAGCATGGATCCTGATCAGACCCTGTGAATGCACAGGCTGGTTTGGAACCATGCTGGTCGCAAACCCATTATGTTGGTTTTGTCATGACGCGGCTCAATTATATTTGATTAAATTAACGGCTAAGATCAATAGAGAGATCACCGGAATAGTCATCAAGGGGCAGTTGGTTTTATCCTCAGTCGAGGCAGAATCTCTCCATGTCAATGTATCTTAGAGATTGAGTCTTCTGGTCATTTGTCTCTCATCGCTGATTCAAAAATTACAATGTGATATTAGTAGTCGATCACTTGTTGAGGAATTGGTAATTAGTGGTTAGTTATCCAGGAAATCCGATAATAGGATCGACTGCCGGGATATGACCAAAAACACGTGTTAACATTGGCATAGAAACGAGCATCAATAATTACAAGTTTACGACACAACTATATTTGCTTTGTTTATGTTGATACTGAAAATTGCAAAGCAGGCCAAGTCCATTATAAAAGTAAAACAGGACAATGGTTGAACAATTTTAAAGTGACACATTATAGTTTCCTATCTAAATCGATATATTCTATCGAATTTGATCATAATTTTTGTCGTTCATGATATTTTCTAAAAAAATGTGATATGCCCTTTTTGTTACCATCTAGTGCCCGAGAAAACTTTGTTAAATTTGATCTACTAAATATCTCCTTTAATGATCCTTTGACGCTTTATTTGAGCCGCGTCACGACAAAACCAACATAATGGGTTTGCGACCAGCATGGATCCAGACCAGCCTGCGCATCCGCGCAGTCTGATCAGGATCCATGCTGTTCGCTATCAGTTTCTAAACTTGTTATAGAGTTTGTAAGCGAACAGCATGGATCCTGATCAGACTGTGCGGATGCGCAGGCTGGTCTCGATCCAGGCTGGTCGCAAACCCATTATGTTGGTTTTGTCGTGACGCGGCTCATTTTATTTGAATGGCGAAAAAATATAGATGTCAGCTAGTTAATCATAATTTTAGTTATGATGATATCTTTTTGCTTATGTAATACAAAAATTCCTACATTTTATCTCTACAGTATACCCACAATATGCAAAAGGATTGGACCACATTTTTTTACCACTTCATAAGGACCCTCTCCTGTCAAAAACAAGTTCGAAATCCGCTCAAAAGTATACTTTAAGTAATTGCAAATTTACATAAATCTAAAACTTAACTGAATGTACTTTTAAAGATCCTGTTACACATTTTTTGATGGTTTTATATCATAAATATAATGCTCATATAAAGATTTATCAATATTGTAAGTTCCAAAAAGCAATATTTGTAAAGATATTGCCGAATTTACATTTCATGTTTATAAAGAGAGGTAATGAGAGCATTTATTTTTACTAAGTCTAAGTCAATTTTTTCAATAGAAAAAATGAGAATGATAACATAATATATTGCCAGTAGCATATTTTACATATTCTTCGATGTTTGAAAATTGGTTGTAGAAGCATAATAATACGATACATAAAAAATTTCATTAAAGGTGTGGCTACAACTTAAATACAACATACAGGATCTTTAAATTGCCTCTTTTTGAAGATAAATACATACTATGTTTATATAAGCCACGAGTATTACATTTAGAAGAGAGCAGAGAGAGAGAGAGAGAGAGAGAGAGAGAGGGAGAGATGACGGAGAGGAGAGAGGGAGAGAGAGAGAGAGAGAGAGAGAGACGAAGAGAAAGAGAGGAGAGAGAGAGAGAGAGAGAGAGAGAGAGAGAGAGAGAGAGAGAGAGAGGGAAAGAGAGAGAGAAGGGAGAGAGAGAGGAGAGAGGAGAAGAGAGAGACGAGAGAGACGAAGCTGTTACTTATACAATCTGCATTAAGATTGTATCTTATATAAAATATAAATCTCTCAATATTGGCATTAAAACCAATATATATACATATTTAGAGGTAAACAATATACAGGGGTTATTCTTAAGGTTTAGATTTCCACTGTACCAGTGTGTACATGTAAGCTCAAAGCCAACTTAAGTTGTGTCTATGTTTCTTTTTTTTGACATTATAACTAAAAATGATTAATTGCAAAATTCCACGACTGGTTGAAAATGACAGACTTTATTTGGAATTGGGGAAGGGAGGAACCTTGCCAAAACCCCGCCGTTTTATAAAACCCCCAAAAAAAATAGTAACATTTAAATTTGGTTTTTTGTAAAAAAACTTATGGCCGCGTCGACAAAACCCCAACAAGGGTTTGCGCCGCATTGATCCGACCGCTTGCGCATCCGCGCGTCTATCGGATCCATGCTGTTGTTTAAAAAAACCCCTATAAAAAGTGAGTAACTGATAGGGGGAAAAACATAAACCCTGATCGACTGCGCGGGGCAGGCGGTTGGATCATGTGGTCGAAACCCCCTTTTTTGGTTTTGTAGACGCCCCAAAAATTGAAAAACAGGTAACTTAAAAAAAAAGCAGAAACTAGCGGTTGAAAGGCTCGTAAAAACGCGCACCCGGGGTTTCTAACCGTTTTCTGGTGATACGTTAAAAATGACTTTTGCAAAAGGTGCACTTTGGTTTAAAACTGATATGCTTGCCGCAAGAGCCCCTAAGATGAAAACAACGAAAATGGTATCAACGACAAGAGCTATAAAACGAAAAGAAGTCAAGAAAAAAGAATTCTTGTTTATAGAAATTTTTATTTGAACAGAAAGACCAATTTAATAAGAAACTTGTTGGACACTTAAACTTAAGATATTTGGGCTACTGCTTCTAATGCTGCCGCTGCCTGCGCTGCTATTATTGCTACCAACATTACCATCACCCTTATATACAAATGCTATCATCATTATTTTTATCATTATTATCATAGAGATAATTAATCTCGAGACCACGATATATTATTCAATTTCCTTTCATTGTTCATTATCTCATTGCCAAGAGGAGATAATATGAAAAACAATCTTGCATGTCACCCCTATGCTTCTGCAGCCGAAAGCTCAAAAACTAAAAAATGTGGTGAAAGAAATGAACAGAAGCCAAATAAGACCACTTGCATACCTTGCCTGTCAGGGGTTGTCATTATGGACATAATACTTCTTATCATTGGAATTGTTAATAGTCCAAGAGAGCCAACCAGTGACACTGAAATAAAAGCATAACATTTCTCAAATATTACGATGAATTGTACAAGACCAGCAAAACCTAGCTATCACCTCGTCCGATATAGGTTTAACCGCTCTATACTCATCCAATAAAATACAGTATTGTACTTAACCATATGTTTTCTAAGACAATCCAAATAGCATACAGAGTTTTCCTGCATACATGTTTCGTTTTTATAAAATAAAAATGAATAAACTCTGTTTATTCTTAGACTGTTATGAGATTTTTAAAAGTGGCGGAAAATGACGACATCTGTCGTTAAGATTGAGACAACATACCTACATAGATCATTATATCATTGGTCGACAATCCTTCAATGACATAAGCGACAGCAAGCGAAATGCTACCGATAATAGCTATAGAGGTATCTTCAAGAAATAATTTGAGAATTGCGATAGAAAACATCCCAACAACCTGAAATAGCGCCATTTTTATTGTACTGAATATTCCAATCTTCTGGGGTGTCCAACAAAAAGGTGCATTTAGTAGGTATAATAATTCAATGCTGGAGCGCCCAAGTACTGTTAACATTGTGAAAAAGAATATAAGTAAAGCTAATATGTATTTCAACCTAAGCCCATCATTCCATGATGCGTAGTAAAATTCCACTGCTTGCCGTTGGTTCTTGCATCGATCCGAGGACACTATGCGTTTATACTTTGGATAAGATTCGGGTAATACGAACACGGTTATCACGATTGCAGTTACGATAAGCGCTGCCGATACCCACAGTGGACTTTTAAAACCATATTCTTGCAGAAGAAAGCCTCCAATAAGCGTTGATAGAGATACACCTAATCCGATACAAACCTCATTTAGGACAATACCTATTGCACGATTCTTCCTGTTTGTTATGTCTGAAACATAGGCATAGCTAGCGAGGAGCCATGAAAATACCTGACCACTGATCCCTTCGACTGCGAACGCGATGTTAAATAGTCCCAAGTCCATCGTTGTGTATATACCAAGAACACATATTAATACGCGCAGTAACGTACCAGTCATTGCAATGATCATTAAGAACTTACGGCCAAATCTGTCAGTGTAGGAACCAAATACGATATTTACAGCAATTGAAGGCACACTTGATGCAATATTAAACACAAGATTGTAGCCGGCTGCAAGCTCTTGTACGAGCGTCAATCGCGTAAAATCCTCGCGACTAGCATTTTCTGAATTGACCATCGTTACCTGTTTGAATTTACTTGGTTTGTGTCTATTTAAATTTTTTAAGTTTTTCCCAATCCAAAAAATTTCCCAGGGACACCCCAGTAAAAAGAGCCCAAGACCCCCGCAACCAGGGGCGCCTGTTCTGTCGTAACCTATCTTCTTTCATCACGTTTTTTCCCTGCCCTTTATTGAGTTTTCTGTTTTTTTAGATTAAACCTCCCATTTAAAGATGATACATACTGGGTAGTGTTTTATATATTATTTTTTTTTATAAGGTAGATATTGTCATAAAGAAAAGCCCGCCTGTTTTTGTACTTATAATAAAGTTGATTCCCCAAGTGCTAAGGGGAAAAATCCCCAATTTATATATCTTTAATTTTGTCAACAAAAAACAAAACTGTCTTTTTAAAAATTGCACCTTTTAAAATGACTAAAAAATAAAAAAATTTTAAGGAAATTTGCTGAAAATTTTTTCGGGGGAATTCACACTCATTTTACTTAGTTGCCCCGAAGAAACCAAAAAATCTTTTTAAGCTTGAAGAAAATAATTCCCTTTTAAACAAAACAAATTTAGCATGTAAAGGGTATGAATAATGAACGTTAGTCTTTGCTCTACTTTTTCATCCAATGATAATGGCTTAATTAATTTTAAAAATTCTAACAGTCTTTTTTTTTGGTGGCGTTTATTGTACCATTCATTTTATTCAAATCAGGTCATATTATCATAATAACAGTTGCACTATTTGTCTTTTTAGTCCATTTATGTCGATAGGTGGAGCCTTGGACTGTGAATTAGGCGATCCGGGTTCGATTCCCGGAAGGTGCAGATCACTTTCGTTGTAATTGACCATGAAATCCTTTATGTGGCCATTCGAATTGTACCTCTTCTGAGAAATGTACAGAAGTTATCAATTCCTTGCAAAAATGAAGGCAACTGGTACTGGTAAACTGCTTGAGAGCCTGCCCAGGAACCATGCGGTGGCTTAAATGAGCTCTGGTAAATTTATATTGTGGAACAATAAGCAGGAGCTTTTCTTCTGTTGCATTTTGGCATTAGGCATTAAGTACAGTTATAGTGATTTAGTATTTTGTATGGAAGTCAAAATACTTCTTTGTTTACATGTTGCTACCTTTATGGCAAATAATTTCAAATTTAGCGCTATTTTCCTTGTGAAACGAGCATCTACTATGCTCTTAATCCATTTCTTAAACAATTAAAAAAAACATGTTTGTCCTTTCTAAAGAAGGAAAAAAAGTTGTTTCTGATGAATAATGTACCTTTTTATTATTCGGACATGTGTTTGATTTTATACAGAATATAACATACTTTAAGACTTTTTATTAAATGACAACATATAATTATTAAAATTTTTGCATAAAATAAAACTTAATAATAAATAATATTTGCATAAGGCTTATATAATTTACAATAATTTATATTAATCGGAAAAAAAATCGTTATTACAAAGCATGTACTAGGTTTTTTAAACTGACATAATTATTTTTGTTATCTAAAGTTATATTGGCGGCCTTATGATATATTTCTCATTTTTTAAAATATAGTTTTGAAAATGAAAAAACCCCATTTATGAATTCAACTGGGGATGTTTATGAATGTTTTAAAATTTATTTAAAAGTATTTTAATAAAAAAATAATAAAAAATATGAGAGTTGCTGATAAAAGTGCCCAACTTAATTCAACAACTGTAACTGACGATTTCAATTTTGTATTTCTGTCGTAAAACCAAAAGTTTCCATATGATTTATCACCACATTCATAAGCTTACATGTAATTCATTTATTTTATTTTTTCACAATAAAACTGCAACATTTAGAAAAAAAAGAATATTCCCCTAGTCTCCATATCACTATGTAGTACAAGTACACTAGATAACGATAACTTCAGAAAATCCTATAGAAAACAAAACCGTTGGTACAAAATAACTACGGACGTCACGTTTTGCCGCTTATTATTAGTCCAAGGGAGACAACTAAGTAGGGCATATTCGTGTAAACGTGTTTTACTCGGTGAACACCTTTTTCTTTGACCCTCTTGAGCCTATTGTGAAGATACTGAAAAACATTAAAAAAATGTTTGTTATTGTGTCAGTAAGAAATAAAAGTTGCACTAAGTACAAACTTATGTAAATGGCAAAAACATAACATAATTACAGTCGTATGTGAGAAGTTAGCAGTTAACAGTGAGCTAAGCAAAAAGGCATTACGATTTATATAGGGAAAACAATGATCTGCTGTTATGCTCAGCTGGGTAAGCAATCTAGCAGAGCATTCCAAAATAAAGTGTAGAAAATGCTTTGCTGGTATGCTCAGCTGGGTAAGCAATCTAGCAGGCCATTTACTAAATATAGTGTAAAAAATGCTCTGCTGGTATGCTCAGCTGGCTAGGCAATCTAGCGGGGCGTTCCAAAATATAGCGTAAAAATGCTCTGCTGGTATGCTCAGCTTGCTAGGAAATCCAGCAGGCATTCCTAAATATAGTGTAAAAAAAAACTCTGCTGTTATACTCAGCTGGCTAAGCAATCTAGCGGGCATTCCAAAATAGGGGTGTAAAAAGCTCTGCTGTTATGCTCAGCTGGCTAAGCAATCTAGCGGGGGTATTCCAAAAAATAGTGTAAAATGCTCTGCTGTTATGCTCAGCTGGCTAAGCAATCTAGCGGGCATTCCAAAATATAGTGTAAAAATGCTCTGCTGTTATGCTCAGCTGGCTAAGCAATCTAGCGGGGCATTCCAAAATATAGTGTAAAAATGCTCTGCTGTTATGCTCAGCAGGCTAAGAAATCTATCGGGACATTTCAAAATATAGTGTAAAAATGCTCTGCTGTTATGTTCAGCTTGGTAAGCAATCTAGCGGGGCATTCCAAAATATAGTGTAAACATGATCTGCTCGTATGCTCAGCTGGCTAGGCAATCTAGCAGGGCATTCCTAAATATAGTGTAAAAATGCTTAGCTGTTTATGCTCAGCTGGCTAAGCATCTAACGGGACATTCCAAAAATAGTGTAAAAATGCTCTGCTGAGTTGCTTAGCTGGCTAGGCAATCTAGAAGGGCATTCCTAAATATAGTGTTTAAAATGCTCAGCTGGCTAGAAAATCCAGCAGAGCATTCCTAAATATAGTGTAAAAATGCTCTGCTGGCAAGCTCAGCTGGCTAAGCAATCTAGCAGAGCGTTCCAAAATATAGTGCGAAAAATGCTGTGCTGGTATGCTCAGCTAGCTAAGCAATCTAGCAGGGCATTCCTAAATATAGTGTTAAAAATGCTCAGCTGGCTAGGCAATCCGGCAAGGCATTCTGAAAATTAGTGTAAAAATGTTCTGCTGGAATGCTGAGCTGTCTAGGCAAACTAGCAGGGCATTCTTAAATAAAGTATATAATTTCGTTGGTCTGCAAACAGATTATTTGGCTGTCGTAGACTTTCTGAAATATTTTAGTGCCAATGCAGATAATGACATTTTTGACTTCTACGGGACCCTCAAGTGTCTATTTCTTTTGGTCTCTGACTGATTCTGGGACGATCGCAGACTTTCAGGAATTTTTGGTGTTAATGCAGATAATGACATTTGTGAATTTTAGGACCATCCAGAGTCCATTTCGTTGGTCTGCGAATGTTTCTGGAACACTCGCAGACTTTCAGAAATGTTCGATGCCAATGGAGATAATGACATTTTTACTTCAAAGGACCCTCCTGAGTCTATTTCGTTGGTCTGCGAACTGATTCTGAGTCACTCGCAGACTTTCAGGAATTTTGGTGTCAATGCAGAAAATGATATTTCTGACTTACTGGACCTTTCTGAATCCATTTTTTTGGTCTGCGACTGATTCTGAGGCACTCACAGACTTTCAGGAATTTTGATGTCAAGGCAGATAATGACATTTTTTACTTCTAGGGACCATCCAGGGTCCATTTTTTTGGTCTGCGACTTAATCTTGGACAGTCACAGACTTTCAGGAATTGTTGGTGCCAATAGAGATAATTACAATTAATGACATTTTTGACCACCCAGAGTCTTTTTCGTTGGTCTGCGACTGATTATAGGGCACTTGCAGACTTTCAGGAATTTTTGGTGCTAATGCAGATAATGACATTTTAGGGTAAAAATGCTCTGCTTATGACTAAGGGTCCTTAAAAGTAAAAAAGTCATGATCTGCAATGGCACTAAACATCCTGAAAGTCTGCGAGTCTCAAGGAATCAGTCGCAGACCCAAGAAATGTAATTTGGCGGTTCCCTAAAAGTCAGAAATGTCATTATCTCCATTGGCATCAAAATACCTGAAAGTCTGCAAGTGTCCCAAAATCAGTCGCAGACCAGCGAAATGAACTCTGGGGGGTCGTTAGAAGTCAAAAATGTCATTATCTCCATTGGCACCAGAGATTCCTGAAAGTCTGCGAATGTCCCAGATTCAGTCGCAGACCATAAAAATGGACTCTGGCGGGTCCCTAGAAGTAAAAATTGCCATCATCTCTATTGGCACCAAACTTTCCTGAAAGTCTGAGAGTGTCCAACAATACGCTGCAGGCCAATGAAATGTACTCTTAAAGGTCCCTAGAAGTCAAAAATATGAATATTTCCATTGGCACCAACCATTCCTGAAAGTCTGCGAGTGTCCAAGAATCAGTCGCAGACGACCAAAATGGACTCTTGAGGGTCCTTAGAAGTCTTAATTGTCAATATCAGCATTGGCACCACAATTCCTGAAAGTCTGCGAGTGTCCTTCAAAAAGTCGCAGGACAATGAAATAGTCTGTTAAAGGTCCTTAGAAGTCAAAAATATCATTATTTCTATTTGCACCAAAAATTCCTGAAAGTCTGCGAGTGCCTCAGAATTGCCTAGAAGTCGAAAATGTCAATAAAACTTTGGCAACAATAAATCCTGGAACTCAGAATCAGTCTGCCAACTGAGCATTCCACCAGAGCATTTTTTAACTATATTTCGGAATGCCTTGCTAGATTGCCTAGCCAGCTTAGCATTCCACCAGAGCATTTTTACACCATATTTAGTAATGCCCTGCTAGATTGCCTAGCCAGCTGAGCATTCCACCAGAGCATTTTTTCACTATATTAAGGAATGCTCTGCTATAGTGCCTAGCCAGCTTAGCATTTCAGCAGAGCATTTTTACACTATATTTCTTAATGCTCTGCTAGATTGCCTAGCAGCTTAGCATTCAACCAGAGCATTTTTACACTATATTTAGTAATGCCCTGCTAGATTGCCTAGCCAGCTTAGCATTCCAGAATAGCATTTGTACACTATATTTAGTAATGTCCTGCTCGACTGCCTAGCCAGCTTAGCATTCCAGCAGAGCATTTTTACACTATATTTAGTAATGCCCTGCTAGATTGCCTAGCCAGCTTAGCATTCCAGAATAGCATTTGTACACTATATTTAGTAATGTCCTGCTCGATTGCCTAGCCAGCTTAGCATTCCAGCAGAGCATTTTTACACTATATTTAGTAATGCCCTGCTAGATTGCCTAGCAGCTTAGCATTCCACCAGAGCATTTTTACACTATATTTAGTAATGCCCTGCTAGATTGCCTAGCCAGCTTAGCATTCAAGCAGAGCATTTTTACACTATATTTAGTAATGTCCTGCTAGATTGCCTAGCCAGCTTAGCATTCCAGAAAAGCATTTGTTCAATATATTTAGTAATGCCCTGCTAGATTGCCTAGCCAGCTTAGCATTCCAGCAGAGCATTTTTACACTGTATTTAGTAATGCCCTGCTAGATTGCCTAGCCAGCTGAGCATTCCAGCAGAGCATTTTAACACTATATTTAGTAATGTCCTGCTAGATTGCCTAGCCAGCTTAGCATTCCAGCAGAGCATTTTTTACACTATATTTAGTAATGCCCTGCTAGATTGCCTAGCCAGCTTAGCTAGCCAGCTGAGCATTCCAGCAGAGCATTTTAACACTATATTTAGTAATGCACGGCTAGATTGCCTAGCCAGCTGAGCGTTCCAGCAGAGCATTTTTTTCACTAAAGCTAGGAATGCTCTGCTAGATTGCCAAGACAGCTGAGTATTGCAGCAGAGCATTTTTACACTATATTTAGGAATGCCCTGCTAGATGCCCAAAACAGCTGAGCATTACAGCAGATCATTACCTTCCCTATATAAATTGAAATGCCTTTTTGCTTAGCTCACTGTTCACTGCTAACTTCTCACATACATTACAGTCCCATGAAATGTTTTAATAAGCGAGTCGCTATCATGGATAAGTAAAGAAGACTTTTTTCATTTTCTTCTGGTTGCATTGTAAATCACATTTATCATGTTGAAGTTCGTACTACAACTGTAATGGATAGGAGGCTATAGTATACCAAATATGCCTTAAACAGCAACTTTATCTAGATAAAACAAGTTTCAAGAGGGGCGATAAAGTCTTACAGGTCGTTATATTTTCTAAAATATTTTGCTCTTTTTTGCATATGATAAATTTCCTAAATTTTCATAAATAATTATTCATATAGTTACCTTACATTATAATAATCATTTACTAATTGCATCATGTACTTTAATTTTAAATTCATTTACATATAAATAAATAATAAAATAGTTACATATAACCTTTATCATAAACCGACTGTATCTCACTCGAATTGTTTCGAGCTGAACAAAAATCACAAAATTCAGAGGAAGAAATACAGTTTGTCGACCGATTATTAGAATATCATAAATGCTAGTTATAAAATCATAACAAATGTAGATTTCAGACATACTTAGAATCATTACACACGCATTGAGATATTTCATCTACCCAAGTTAGTCTTACTTTTTTAATCTCATTACATATATATCTCATTACATATATATCTCATTACATATATATCTCATTACATATATATTTCATTACATATATATCTCATTACATATATATTAAAATGGACCTGTCTATCTTTTAGCGAACACTGCGGGCCATGATTAAACGGCACGACTATGCCGGCTGAAAGTTGTCTTGGGTAAATTCTGTAACCGCCAACAAGCTAAAGCTAAGAGTTAAGCAGTAATAGAAAGAGCATCGAAACACGAGACTATCTACTTTGTACGAGATGGCGTAGGCCCCGAGTATAGACCAGATTGCGGAGTGTCTTGATGTTCTTTTCTTTTGTATCATAGACAGGTTCTCTGTCATCACAAGATGAAACCCTAGAAAAAATAACCAATGTACGAGCATCTGAATGTGATTTTTTAATCATTAACCCTTTCCATGTCGTCACAATAAGTAACCCCCAATTTGGATAAACCAATCAAACAAACATGCTCTTTTTTATCCCTGACAGACAGTGCGGTAACTGGAGTACGGGTAACTAATACCTGCACCCCAGTTAACACACAGTGTATGCATTAGTGTACGAGTATTCTGACATATTTTCAATAAAAAGGTCTCCAAACTATGACACAATTACTACGTTCCCTCGTGCAAATCTGATAGCCTCGTCTTTCGATGCTCTTTCTATTACTTATATTTATTATCGATGATTACTTACATCATAAGAATCATGCCAAAAACACTGAAGACAGCAAACAAAAGAAACGTAAAACCTCTCTGAATCTTTACTGTAGCTATATATACAGAATTGGAGGTCACTGCCCCTATACAATTAACCGCAGTCTCTACAGCTGAAACACTGGCAAACACAGCTCCTGCTCGAACAAACGTTCATAAAAATAAACAATATGTTACAGAACAAACAAATTCATAAAATCAGTCACATTACACATACAATAATTTCAGAAGACAAAAAAAAAGATCATTAAATAGATGAATCAAGGTGAAAATGGATCTTTTACCAAGTACAGCTAACAACAGAACAAAATTAAACTCTTCAGAAATAAGGTTAATATCATTAACACACCAGACCTGTTTAGTCAGACCAGTTTTGACAAATAAAAAAATGAATTGAGCCGCGTCATGACATAACCAACATAATGGGTTTGCGACCAGCATGGATCCAGACCACCTTGCGCATCCGCGCAGTCTGCTCAGGGTCAATGCTGTTCGCTGTCAGTTTCTCTACTTGCTATAGTGTTTGTAAGCGAACAGCATGGATCCTGATCAGACTGCGCGGATGCCATTATGTTGATCCTGATCCGACTGGCCGAATGCCATTATGTTGGTTTTGTCGTGACGCGGCTCAATTCTTGTATATTCATTGTAATTGTGTAACTTTTCAAAATACTTCACTAGAATTTATCAACCAACACATTTAACAAACAAAAAAATAATTCCTAGTTTGTAAACATCACAACTTTAATTAAACTCCCATCATTTTGAATATTTCATATTTAAAGAGCATTTATCAAAAGATATTTCAAGTGTGAAACAAAAATGTTCCAGCCCCATCAAAACTCAAAAGAATGATGAAAATGAAATACTATTCAAAACATGTTTATTATACAGTAGCGGAACCCTCGTGAATTTCGTGTATAAATTGTCCTCACCTTGTTTCTGTGGAGAGGTCATCTGAGATAATATAGAACGAATCATTGGTATAGTCAATAAACCAAACGTTCCAACTATTGCAACTGGAAATATAGCAAAATAACTAGTGTTAGAATATTCTTCATCAGATGCACATGTCGTTTTAGTCTTAACTTAATGATTCACAGCAAAAACGAATACAAAACTCAGATCCCAGGTATTTGATTCGTAAGAAACTGTCAAAGAATAATCACTGACCAATGAAAATGCTGAGATTTGAGACAGAACTCAGAAAAAAGTTATATAACCTTGAGTCTAGTTCCAGCCAATATAGTCTCTGACGTTGAAGTTTCCTGCTTAAAACTTCCATGATAAGATATCATAATAAGTATATATGTGAGAATATGTAACTACAATTTATATTTAGAACTTGGGAACTAAAAATTAATGAGTTCAATCTAGAATTGCAAAACTATTTGCGATCATACTGAAATATGTAGAGCTAACATCTAATAGTATCATAAAACGCAAGATATGTTGTTAAAAGACGCTTACCTAAATACATCATTAAATCGTTTGTAGCGTAAGCCTCTATGAAAAATGATGCTGCGTACGATACGCAACCTATAATCGCTATCATCTCGTCATTCATACAAATATGAAACAATTTCACGCTCATCATTCCAATTATTTGCTGTAGAGCCAACCTCAACGCTCCGAATACTCCAATTTTCGTTGGGTTCCAGCACAGAGGATAATTCAACAGATAAAGTCCTTCCATAGCGGTGCGACCAAATAAGTTATATACGGTAAACGAAAACACAAGAATTGTGGTGAAGTACATCCATCTACGACCAGCGTTTTTCTTGCTAAAGAAAAGATCGGACGCGTCTCTAAGATTTTCAAACTTTGAGGTATACTTTCTTTGATTGCGTATAGCTTTAGGGTAAGTCTCGGGTAAAAGGAATATCAGAAATAATGTAAAAACTAGTATTCCTAAAGAGATGTAAAATGGTATGAGGAATGAACCAGTTTCTTCTAGGATAAACCCGACTGCCAAGGTCGGGGCAACAGTGCCTAGTCCAAACGCCAACTCCACAATGACAATTCCTACAGATCGTGCTTTACCGTTTTCTGTTATGTCGGCGGCATAAAGGTACGTTATCTGAAAGATATTGAATATTTGTCCAGTACATCCTTCAAGAAAATAGCCCGCAATGTAATAATACAGCGGGAGGTCATAGTGCATCCCTACGATAGCCATAGACGTTCGTACTATTGTTCCAACACATGGAAGTATGAACAAGAACTTACGTCCAAAACGGTCTGTGTAAGCTCCTAGGATAAAGTTAGCGATTATAGACGTGAAGCCTCCAGACATGTAGAAATAAATGCCCCATATTGCCGCTTTTTGTTGAACGTCCTCCTGAATCCTAAAATTGTCTGATGATGTATTAACTTCACAATAAGCTGTAGTTTTGTTGACACGAATTCCAGGAAAGTTTTCGTTCTGTAGTTTAATGTATACGTATTGTCCAAATGATGCAAACGTCAGATTATACGCTGTCACAAACAGAAACGCTACAGGCCAGACGAGAAAATGCTGTCTGGTAATAATTTGATTTGGCGGGAGCATCAAATTATTCCCAGTAATACCGTCAATTGGTTTCTTCTCGTTTTCATGAGGCACGGCTGTATCAACTTCTGGCTCTATCAAAGGTGCATTTTCATCTATAACAATTCTATTTCCTTTCATTTTGAAAATCGTATTTGCAATTCTAATCAAGACATTTATATATTTTATCGTAATAACACAAAAAACTACAACACCTTATAACGGATATTCCGTGAACAATGATGGTTAATATTTTACATATATGTAAACAAATCCATTCAACACTGTTTCAATTTAGATTGTATATTTACATCATTTTATTTGGTATCATCGTTCTAATTTTTACCCTTGTCATAACGGCACATTCTAAACAATTTATATTTTATGTTCAACTTCATGGTGGGAATAAAAATAAAAAATTTAACTGATTGCATACTTGAATTCTTGATTTAATTTGAAAATTTATAAAAATGTACATTGTTATACTTGATTATTAAACTTTGACATTGTTTAAACAACAGATCTATCAAGAGGTGAGTATGTAGGAGATATTACACAATCGCACTTATTTACATCTGTACGATTAAACATTGTTATCTTTTACATTAAAATTTCAATTTTCAGCTTGGCGTACTTAACAAAAACAACGAGCAAAGAGTATATGCAGTTTTACGTTTGTAAATAATAATTGCAGATATAAACAAAATGAGCATACAAATCAGAATTGTTTTCAACAGAATACACTTGAAGATGCACTTTCTTGCTATTGATGCAACTTTTCGACTGCAAACAGAAAACATGATGACTGTTCGAGACTAATACATTCTGTAGTCTTCACATTAAACACGACACATATAAAGAAACGTTCACAATCTAAACATTAAACACTTTATTTGTTTTGATTGCCCTTAACAACAAAATACAATGTATCTTAAACATATTTTATGTGTTATAAACTTTTCGCTGATCATTTAGAACTATACTGACCCCTCGAATCATAATTTTATAGCTTAAGCTTAATATAGTGTATTCTTGCTGCGCAGGTATCTATTAACAAGGAAGACGATAAAATCACACGTGCGAGCGCGTCGTGTTTTTTTTCCACGTTTTTAATATGCTTTATTTAGGGCGTCATGCAAAAATAGCTAATTGCGATGGATGCCTAGTGGTTTCCTAAGCACACGTGACGGTTTCTTTATATGAAAAAAAAAAAGAATCAAACGTATATTTTTGTGCAATAATAAAACGAATGCATTTTATTCGTGTATTGTACTCGTATTGTGCAGAAGTGCTCGGATTTATAAAATCACTCGCCCTGTGGGTTTGGCCTTTTAATGCGTCCTCGTGCTTCTCCACAGTTGTGAATGCACGAGAAAAGTTACATGTTTTTATCCAGAACAGACATAACCACACCTAGATGTTCAATACTTTCCTTCTCTTATTTTGTTTTAAGGTTCTTTCACAGGACAAATTATTGTGACAAAACGAAGACCAGTGATTAGATAATTACAATACATATTTAATTGAAACCTGCTAGTAAATAATACAATTTAATGTAGTTTCCACTCGTTTGGAGCGCGTAAAAATCTTTGTTGAACTCACAAAATTTCTGCTAGGCAGAAAGAAAAGCTGGCGGCTGTTTCAAATAGTAACCAGGACGATGATAAAGATAACGTTATCTGTGTCTTTGGTGTACTTTACTTAATTCATAGACGTCTTAAACTTTATGACATTTGTCTTGTAAAAGTAACATTTCTTATCTTTGACAAATATGCTCTATTATCATTAAAAACGTAAACACTACATGCCATTTTGACGTTGAAATCATTGAAAACAAAAACAAGTACTTGATGTATTCGGTGCAGTATTTCTTAAGGCGATAGTTTGGCAGCGGCCAATACCAAACGATTTAGCTTCGAAAATAAGAAGCAGTCGAATTTGGGTACTAAATGCTTTTGGTGTTTTAAGCAACTGTTACATTTGAATTGTTACAAATTAACATTTTGTTTTTAAACACATCTGATAGTCGATGGACCTTCCATTTTGTCTGATCATCACATTGGATCTATAGATGTGTTTATACTATTGCGAAACAGCAATGCCGTCACCTTTGCCCTTTATTCACGTACATGGTCACCTTTGCCATGACATCTCGACTATTTACTAGACCATCAACACATTACACTATATAAGAAGCATCCTTTAAGGGTATTTTCATAACTGAAGTAAACAACAATAGTAAGAGATGAAGACAATAGTTTGTATAGTGATCGTAGTGGCATGTAATGGTAAGTTGTTTGTTACTTGTTTTTTTTTATTGATTTATTTTTTATTTTAATTTTGTTTGTGTTTTTAATTTTTGTTGTTTTTTATCGATTTATTTTTTATTTACTGGTTTCTTTTTTCCCTTTTTTTTAATTCTTCCAAACAGTCATTTCATTAATTCACAAAGTTAAAAGTTACAACGGCAAAAACAACAAATCTGACATTACTTTTTAAAATCAATAAAGAATTCAGTTATTTCAATATCACAAGACGGCCATCTTCTCAATTAAAGGTGAAAACGAATCATTTGAGCCGTGTCACGACAAAACCAACATAATGCGTTTGCGACCAGCATGGATCCAGACCAGCCTGCGCATCCGCGGATCCATGCTGTTCGCTTACCAACTCTATTACAAGTAGAGAAACTGATAGCGAACATCATGGATCCTGATCAGACTGCGCGGATGCGCAGGCTGGTCTAGATCCATGCTGGTCGCAAACCCATTATGTTGGTTTGTCGTGACGCGGCTCATTTAGTTTTTTGTAATGAGTGGACACGTATGACTATATTTAAATTTATTTCGATGCTATAATTTACGTTACCCTTTAAAAGTGCCTAGTTAAAAATAACTGTGCGCTTACAAATAGCAACAATAATAGTTAAATAGCGACTAGCTTAGTTATTATCATTGACATTCATTTATTAAGAAAACTTAAATACTTCAGTATCAAATACTTTATCTTATGACAAACATTTTGGGAATTAAAACGTCAATTATAACTAACGCCAACAATTGAGCCGTGTCACGACATAACCAACATAATGGGTTTGCGACCAGCATGGATCTAGACCAGCCTGCGCATCCGCGCAGTCTGATCAGGATCCATGGTGTTCGCTTACCAACTCTATTACAAGTAGAGAAACTGATAGCGAACAGAATGGATCCTGATCAGACTGCGCGGATGCGCAGGCTGGTCTGGATCCATGCTGGTCGCAAACGCATTATGTTGGTTTTGCCGTGACACGGCTCAATTTAGTATTTAAAACATAGAATGTTATACGATGAGATGTTTTAAAAGTGTTCAAACAACTGTTTAGATTTTTGGAATATTATTCTGCTAAATAAATTATACGGATTTCTAGAAGAGTGTTCTTGTCATTCGTAAAATATCTTCCTCTTAGTAGGGAGAGCGTCGTATATTTAAATTCTTATTTGCCAGTTCCATCATCTGGCTAGGCACATTCTTTTCCGTTAGGCTTGATCCTAGAACAAAATATTATTCATACAAATGTTCATACTACATCACTTAAAATAATATCAACATTTTTTTTTTCAAAAATAATTTAATATTTTCTTTTGTTGTTTTTCATAAAAATTTGTTCAAAATATTTCCATTGTAGACCAATCCACTTTAACGGTTTTCGCATTATATAAGTGATAAGGATCTATATATAAATTTTGTTTTAATACTCTCAAAAATTTAATAATACGTTTCTTTGAGCGAATCCTCTTACTACACTTTTTCACTTCAATATTTTTATTTCAAAATTTTATTAAGGCACAAACATGTCTATTGCTAAAAACTATAATGGCGTGTACACAAATTAATAACATATAACCAATGGGGGAAAAAACAATCTAAATGCGAGAAAAGTAATATTCCATACATAACTTCACAGTCATGAAATAAAAAATATATATATATATAATTATTAGTGTTTGAAATTAGTTGGAAGTTAATAGTTTTATCTCTAGCTCATGTTGCATAGCAAATAAATTTAGACAATTTCCTACTAATCAAAGCTTTTGTATGGTTACGATTCAATTCTTTTCTTTTAACATTTAATTGTATTTCCTGAAAATAACTACAGAAAATGATTAAAGTAGCAGTACTAATTACTTAAATACACATAAAATAGGAAATCTAAGAAACCCGTGAATTGTCAGTTGTAACTATTAAATATTCGTTAGAAATAACTAATAATTTTCTTATGCCGGCAATTGAAAATAAAATAAAACTAACTGAAAATAAAAGATTGCATTGTATATTAGCAGAGGAAATAGTTAACTTAATAATTCAAAACATCTACACATGTTTATGATGTCTTGTATCTATTTAAATATTTCAGATGCTTTGGCTTTGTTACCAGTGCCATTAGAAAAGCAGTTGATAGAAAATGTGAACAGGTATAAAGAAAGCAACTTCCGGTGGAATGTACGAAATCTTGACGAAGACAGCTTCATATCGTTGAGGAAACTAGAGGAGAAAAAAGACAGAGACTTTACTGAGTATCTTAAAATAAAGCAGAATGAAGCCAGAAATAAATTAAACAATAAGAGTCCAAATTCACATTCACCAAGGAATGTAATGATGACTTTAAAAGAGGTTGAACCAATGACCATGATGTACAGCAACAAGTTGGAAACTACAAATCTAGAGCCACTGTCAATGTTGTACAGCAAAGAACCACCACAAGTAATGATGTACAACGCAAAAGATCTGCAGCCGTCACCGATGATGTACAGGAACAATTTAGGCACCGGTACTCTGCCAATAGAAATTACTGGCAAAAGGTCACCACAAGTGATGATGTACAATGCAAAAGATATGCAGCCATCGTCAATGCTATATAGTAACACATTAAATATTGAAAACCTTCAGCCTTTATCAATGATGTACGGAAAGAGGTCACCACAAGTGATGATGTATAATGCAAAAGATATGCAGCCATCAGCAATGCTATACAGTAACATATTGGATATCGATCATCTTCAGCCATTATCTATGATGTATGGAAAAGGGTCACCACAAGTTATGATGTATAATGCAAAAAATATGCAGCCATCATCAATGCTATACAGTAACAAATTGGATATCGATAATCTTCAGCCATTGTCAATGATGTACGGGAAAAGGTCGCCACAAGTGATGATGTATAATGCAAAAGATATGCAGCCATCGGCAATGCTGTACAGTAATTCATTGGATGCAGATAAACATCAACCCTTGTCAATGATGTACGGAAAAAGGTCGCCACAAGTGATGATGTATAATGCAAAAGATATGCAGCCTTCCGCAATGCTGTACAGTAATTCATTGGATGCAGATAAACATCAACCCATGTCAATGATGTACGGAAAAAGGTCGCCACAAGTGATGATGTACAATGCAAAAGATATGCAGCCTTCCGCAATGCTGTACAGTAATTCATTTGATGCAGAGAAACATCAACCTATGTCAATGATGTACAAAAAGAGGTCACCACAAGTGATGATGTACAATGCAAAAGATATGCAGCCATCATCAATGCTATACAGTAACACGTTGGATATCGATAATCTTCAGCCATTGTCAATGATGTACGGAAAAAGATCACCACAAGTGATGATGTATAATGCAAAAGACATGCAGCCATCGGCAATGCTGTACAGTAATTCACTGGATTCAGATAAACATCAACCCTTGTCAATGATGTACGGAAAAAGGTCGCCACAAGTGATGATGTATAATGCAAAAGAGATGCAGCCTTTGGGAATGCTGTACAGTAATTCACTGGATTCAGATAAACATCAACCCTTGTCAATGATGTACGGAAAAAGGTCGCCACAAGTGATGATGTATAATGCAAAAGAGATGCAGCCTTTGGGAATGCTGTTCGGTAATTCACTGGACGAAGATAAACATCAACCCATGTCAATGATGTACAAAAAGAGGTCACCACAAGTGATGATGTACAATGCAAAAGATATGCAGCCATCGGTAATGCGATATAGTAACACATTGGATACAGTTAATCATCAACTAATGTCAATGTTGTTCGAGAAAAGGTCCCCACAAGTGATGGCATACAAAGCCGTGCTAAATGATAAAAAACCTAGGCATATCATGATTTGTGCTGGAACCAATGTCTCTGTTACTACCATAGAGAGAAATGAATCGGCAAACCAGAACAATCAAGTGATAGAGCTTTCAAGTTTTATAAATCAGTGGTTCAAAATGACTTATACACTTGTCAAGGAGGCACCTTTAGAAGAAAGCAAATTTTTTAGCACATGGAAACAGACTATCTCTATTTTTGGGCATGATGATTTAACTCGACAATACTTTAAACTAAAATATCCAGCTTTGAGTCAAGAAACAGTAATACATGAAATTTCAAAATCCAATGTCTTTGAAAAACTCTTCTGGCCTTTTGCTTACGACATTGGTTTCATGAATCAAAAACTTGGTCTTCTTGGTTTCTCCGGATTGGTCGCAACACCAGAAAAACAGAAGCTTATGTTTTATGAAATTCTTGAAAAGTTCCAAACTCTAAAAATTCCTGTTCAGAGCAATAAGATAGTATACAGTTTTAATGATTCCCTTGTGATCGATGCATTAAATTGTTCTGGTCTTCAAGAAATGAGCAGAGAATATGTAGATGCGGGACTTCATTTGTATACACTAGAAGAACAAGCTTATATACTAGGGAAAGTTGAAGCAGCGATGTCACTTATAAATGACACAATGCCAGAACTATACAAAGTTATTCATCAAATTGTATCATGCATAGCGTTTTACAAGGCAGAGCATCCGGGTTTTGCTGGTGGAAGTATAAGTTCTGCTCTCGGGCTTATCTGGCAAGATCCTAATTCATATAAGGAACAGACAGTGGCGCATTATGCCGAACAAATAGTCCATGAATTTATACATACATCTTTATTCCTTGCCGACCTTGTACATGGAACATTTTCTGACTACAGATTGCTCTCCATGGCAAAAGTCTATTCACCAATACGTCATGAACTTCGTGATTTTGACAAAACCTTTCATGCCTCTTATGTTTCGACAGGTAGGTATATCATTATAATACCTTGGAAGTTAAGTATGTAACATGCGACATGTTGATGAAATACGAATAGCGTTCGACCCTAAATTACAAATGGTCCAGCCTTATTTATGGACATTTCAATATGTTAAAATTTCGTAAAAAATAGACTTCGAATAGTTTTATAAAACATGCATGTTTTGCAATAATACACGTGGATTTGTAGTAATATCAAGAACAAAATAACAACGAACACAAGTTTTGAGAAGAAGTCTCATATTGTCGTTACATGTAAAAATGCAGTTAATATCTAAGGAAAAATAGAAAGTTTTCACAGGCAAACTTTCACTTCATATTTAAAAAGAAATGAACAAGGCAAAGAGAATCTTTGTCACTAACAATTTCATTTGTTTTTTCTTTTTTAATGTCTCAATTAAGTGGATGTTTCTTGATATTTTAGGGGTTGCTCTTTTCCATGCACGAGCTGGTAACTGGGAGAAAGCAGTTAAACTTGCTGAACCATTGAGAGCATCTGTAGAAGGTCTTACTATGTTAGATAATGAAGTGGGCGTACTGAATGATTCGGGAAGAGCCATGTTACAAGCCATGGAAGATTTCTTATTTGTTATTCGTCTTATGTGAAAGTTTTGAGTTAAATATTATAATTAAATGTTTTATATAATAAAAGGTTTATTTTTTACATTGTGTAACTTTTGTTGCTATTATGAATCGAAATAAAATTTCGATTAGCCATCTATGAGATTTATCCTAAATACAAATGAGATCATATGGAGCATTAAAATAATACATGAGAACATCAGTCATTTTGAGAAGGGTAGATATACGAGTATTTGACAATCTATTTTGTTGTACTTGCTACACAATGTGTGTCATAAATGAACTTTAAAAAATCTTGATAAAGGGATATCCCTCGCTGATAAAGAAATAAGTTTTCAAGTAACGCTTACACAATAACATTTGTTATCTTATGTTCGACTACATGTATTTGTTACATTTTCATAAATTTGTAAAAGGAATAAGAAAGGTAACAAGAAAATATTCTAGTTTTTGAAATAAAAGGAATTATATTTAATTCATACCACAATACAAAAGAACATTTTAGTTTTGAAAAGGCAAACTCTTAGTTACTGAAGTAAAGGTAACAAATACTGAATGTTCAGCAAAATCATGATAAACTAATAAAGATATTTTGATATAAATACAAATAATGATCATTTTGACGTAAGTCGCATCGTGTATTCCTACTTTGTTTTCGCGGCGAACAACAAAGAGAAAGACAAATTTAGGCATAAATACAATATATAGAAAGTGTCGTGTTTTTGCATCTTATTTGTCTAGCCTCAGCATTTTTGCTTTTTCGCATTGTTGTGCCTTTCCTCATTCGCAACAACGCAAATAAATGGAGATGCGGAAATGTAAAAAACACAAAGAAGCGAAAAAAGTTTAACTTTGCCGTAGTTTCGCATTTTGCCCCGAAGATGCATAGATACGACAGGAGTTTGCGAAAACGCGACACATGTTATGCATCGACGGCATGGCATCAATCAGCCATCATGCAATTGTGTACACATTTCAACAGAAGCTAAATGACAAAAAAATCAATGCACGGTTATTATTTCAATGTTTGTAGACAAAAATATATACCAAAATTGCAGTCATAAACCATTCAACTTCTATTATTATGCCGATGGCAAGTGCTCTTCAATCATTGAACTTATCTATAAATTGCAAAAAAAAGCTAAAAACGACGAGATGGATGCCTTTGAAGAAGAACAACGTGAAAAAAGCTTTAAGATTATTTTCATGTAAGAAAACGAAAGGGTCAATGTACTCAAAACGTGAAAAACGATAAAAAATATGTTGCTGCTAAAGAAAGAAAAGTTATAATACACACGTTAAAAAAGACTTAATTTCATATCTTTAACGTAAATATAAGCTTAGAATTGTATGCTAAGATGTATTATATAAAATATATATTTTAACGACATTTCAAGTCAAATCCAAACTTATAATCAAGAAATGTAAAAATGTAAATACATGTTTTGACAAAAAAATAAAGAAAATTCAATCGTATCTTTCTTTGACGATATTTTCTTCTTGAAGTTTCTTTTAACGTTATTTTGCATTGTTGTTCTATACCCTTTTCTTCACTAAATTCTACTCTTTACTTTTCTTTGCAGACTGTTTTTATTCTCTGCATTTCCTAACATATCAGCACACGAAATTGTATTATATTTATTGTATTGTACGATATTTCTGTTTTATCTTTGCTACAAATGAATGGTTATCGCCTATCAATGAAATATTCTGATGAAAAATTTAAAATGTCAAGTCTGTCTAAAACCATAAATATACATAAAGTACTGCCCATCAAGAAATGTTAAGACTAAAATAAACGTGTAATTTTGTACAGTCTAATCTTTAAAACTTATGTACTTTTTAAGTTACACGTGCACTTTTGAACAATTTGCTGTTTTTAGGCGACATTTAGGCAGTGATTTCAATAAATTTAATTTACGTCAATGACATGTCAGCGGTATTGAAAAATAGACTATTGCTATATGCTGATGACTCTGGAATACTTGTTTCTGGAAAAAATTACCTGAGGTGGAAATTTCTGTATCTGAAGATTTGTCCTCAGTAAGTCAATAATAAATTGATAATAAGTTATCGTTGCACTTAGGTAAAACTGAGTCCATTGTGTTTGGGTCTAAACAAAAACTTAGGTCACATTCCAAATTAAACATAAACTGTAATGACACTGCAATAGAAGCATCCACATCCATTAAATATCTTGGGGTAACTATTGATTAGTACCTGTCCTTTGGTTACACGGCAGACTCAGTAATTCAGAAGGCTAACGCCTGGTTAAAGTCCTTTTACCGTAAGAAAAGTTTTCCTTACACAGCATACCAAAAAAACTGCTTGTCAATTCCTTAATTCAGTGCCACTTTGACTATGCCTGCTGTGTCTGGTAAAATGGTTTAACTCAGGTCTTGAAAAATAAATTACAGACAATACAAAATAAAATGATGAGATTTGTTCTAAACCTTGATTCCAGAGTTCATATTGGCCCTTCCCATTTTAAACCCCTCATTGGTTACCAGTTTGTGAAAGAGTTGAACAAATCATGTTATGTCATGTTTTTAAAGTTAAAAACCAAATGGCCCCAGAGTACGTAAGTGATTGTTTTGTTTTTCAGGAATCTATGCATTCTTATTGCACCAGACTGAGTAAAAATGGAGGGTATTGTCTTCCTAAGGTTAAAGGTTCCGGGTCAAAGTCTTTAAGTTTTATTGGCGCTAAACTATGGAACAGTTTTCCAACTTGTATAACTGAAATTAACAAATTTCATCGTTTAAAGCCTTAAAAAGTCACTTTTTAAGTAGCATGTAAGTGTTTTTCTTAAAATTTCTTGCAAGAAAATTTTATATGTTTTCATTTTTTTTTTATTGAAATATTTTTCGGCTCAGGTTTACTGTTTCATTTTTTTTTTTTTGAAATTTGTTTTAAATTTTTTATTAAGACTTTAAAAACTTTATCCTTTTTTTGAATAGCGTAATCTATGGCATGTCCTTTCCTTACATACTTAAAACAACTGTGATAATTGTTTTTAATGTAATCTTTTCTTAATATGTACATGATTATTTCTTAAAGTGATACTGACTTTTTATTTACATTACCTTACATTTTAAAATGTGATAATTTTAAATGATATACTTCATTAATGTGATTTTTCTTATAATTAGTGAGATTTTTTTTTCCTTTATGAAATACCTCTCTGTCATGCCACCAAATGGTAAGGACCACAATGGAAATAAGAGCTTGCTCTTATTTGTGCTATCCTTGGTTTTGGGAACATGTCATAGTTTACATAATATAGTATTTATTCATTTATTTACTTATTTATTCATTTATTTGTAATTGTTTTAATCTACATTGTGTTTGTTTATCATGTAACATGTTTACCTTTATGCCGAAATCTATCTATCTATGTATCTATGTATCTATCTATCTAAAGCTACATGTCTCCAGATGAGTCAAAACATTTCAATTAAATCAAACTTGAGAGAAATGTACTAAGATGTAAGTTCAAGATTCAAGTAGTATTTTACATATTAAATGCGATTAATGACCAATTTTACAGTATTTACAGCTATATTTCTACTGCGCTACTAACGCAGTAAAGGCTATTTAACCATATTTTGACCTTTCTTTTGGTAATTTTCATGGATATTGAAAGTGCCGCTGATAATGTGTAAATTCCTTCTTTTTGGTTACTTCACAGTATTACACATTTAGATACATTTTCAAAAATTTCATGAAAATTAGAATGAATCTGGAGGCGTGCTGCTTTAAAAGAAGCTGTCGATTTTGGATAATACCCATGCTTTTGATGTTGAAGCAAAAGATATATGCGTCATGTAGCAACATTTAACTTTTGTGCTTTGTTGTTTTCTTTTTTTGTATTATGTTTGTTTTCTTTTCTGTTTTTTATTTGCTTATTGTTTTTTGTTTTGCAATTTTACAAATAAATTAACTTTGATATTAAACGGACTTTTCATTTTTTTCTAAATAGTGACTTGAACCTATGTAATGTAAACAGCAGTGATGGATCATTTTCGGCTTCAATGATAACATTTGCTATGACATATGACACTACCTCGTATATAAGAACCATCAATGAGCACATTATTCATTCACTGACCTTTACAGTATTAAAGAGGAATGAAGACAATAATTTGTCTAGTGATCTTGGTGGCTTGTTATGGTAAGTTGTTAGTTTTTAAAGTTTTAAAATTCATTAATGTACACTTTTTTAATTTGGATAGATCTGACATTAATTTTTTTTTCAAACTGAGTTGAGAAGTGTCACGAGGTATAAGAAAGAAATAATAATCCCTAAAGTAAGTTAAAAACGTAAAAAAACTGAAAGTGTTGCAGGCTCGGTTTGATTGAGCATGTTCGGTTTGATTGAGTCTGTTCATGGACAGTACTGGAAAGTGCAAGCTACTGTCCATGTCCCCTGGCACCAGCTTAAGCAGTATTCAACTTTTTTACGTGCAATGGTAAAAATTTTGAGCAGATGTGTTCATACGGCGGTGATCATGGAATGTGACACTTTAGTGTCATTTCATGAAAAGCGGCGTGTGGTATCCAGGTGAAAAAATATCTGTGCCCTAAAAGAGAAAACGATGGGCGTAACTTAACAAAATGGAACTTTGAAAGGGGATCAGAACAAATGAAGTCTGCATACATGATGCGAAATAAGAATCTCGCAAATGTAAAGTGAATTACAGAAACTAAAGTGAAGTATCTTAAGTAAAATTTAGCCTTTCAATGAAAAACAAAATCTGGCAGAGAAGCGATTCAAAGATTGCAAGAAAAAATTGTTTGAGAAACAGAGTTGTTCAAAGCGGAAGTAAAAACTCGCCTGCAAGCTTGTGTAATCTTTAAGTTAGTCTAGATTCGTAAAGTAAGATATATTTGACTGTGAAAATGCATAATGTTGCCGACTCATAGACGATACTATCAATTAACATGAAGCATGATGAACGACGCGTTCGGGTTAGAGATTCTCGGGTGGGGGGAATTGGCCTCGAGGCTACATAACTTTCTTCAGAACTAAGTGTGAATTCGCGAGATATTTAGTGTAAATATAATACATGAGATCTGCGTTTGTGCATAAAACATTTCTTTATCCGTTCTGACACTGTATTGACGTCTTGGAGGAAGACTGGTTCTACGAAAACACGAAGGAGTGATCAATGTGTCATCTTCGATGCAACCCCAATAAGTAACAAAAAGACTGGTGCTGGAATAAATGTCTTGACCTTAAAAAATTTAACACAAAGGTTTATCTGATGTTTTTTAAATGCTTAGAGATTATTAATGTTAATAAGTACTCCGTAAGCGAATCGAAAATGGAGGAGGGGGCGATTAGGTATACATCAACATATTGGCCAGCTAGCCAGGTCATCTGATTATAAGACTTATCCAGTCATTTTTCTAACGCAGTCACAGAGACATGAGCCGCTTTGCTTAAATAGAATAAAATCTCGATGTTTCGCTTATAACATTCGTCACTTTGTTAAAATGTACAAACATGTATATACATTCTTCTTAATCTCTAACTAAGGAACTAAGCAACAAAATTTTCTCACTATATTATAAAAAGAATAAAAAGGATCAAAATCAATATAAAAAAATCAACGCAAAATAGTGATTTTTGGCAATTTTGAGATGTCCCCTCGTTGCCATGTAACAGGAAATGTAAGACTGAGCATGTTGTTAGTCTGATTAGTATTGAAGCATTTTTTATAGTTTTATAGCAATTTGAACTTGTAACGGGAGATTTTTCAATGAAAACAGCCATTTTCACAAAATGCTCATGCAGTAATTGGTTAAAGCAGAGACATAGATAACAGAGATAAGCAGCTCTTATATACTCTATTGAAATATCAATCATGCCTATCAAAAAGTGAAAAAATAGGCATTTTGTATCAAATAAAACTTAATGGATGTACATTTGATCCTTTAATATTATATACTATTTGAAAGGTAAATCTTTTATCTATTGATGCATGTTAAAATATTGGTAACTTTTCATACCTTTCACTTAGAAAAACATAGCAGAACATACCCACTGAGCCAGTTTTTTCCGTCATATGAATAGTTTCGTAACAAAAATTATTAAGGTAGAACGCGACACTTTGGGAACTTTCGAGCAGCGTCTTGAAAATTGGCATGCAAACAGTTGACCATATTTCTGATTAAATTCCGTTGATTTTATTTCAATAGTTTAAGCCAATTTTTGTACACACGGCGTCAAAGTTGACCATCAACATTCACAAAAAAGAGCAAGCAAGCTCTTATTTCCATTGTGGTCCTTAGCATTTGGTGGCAAAAAAATCAAAAATTTATTTCAGGAATTTTTTAATAAGCCGCTTTAAAGCCGAAAAAACTGAACGTCAAATTTTACACAAAATTAACAGTTTTCTTTCCATTTTTCAAACATTTTTTGGCGTAAAACGATAAATTTTATATCAGCTTAAAGGAAAAAATAATTTCCGTCGAATGCTGTAGAATTTAGGATATTTTGTCCGCAAATGGCGTTGAAATACCCGTAACAGTTGCCAAGGATACGCAACAACGTCATGTTAAAAAACGGGCTTTGATGGTCAACTTTGACGCCGTGTGTACAAAAATTGGCTAAAACTATTGAAATAAAATCAACGGAACCTTATCGGAAATATAATCAACTTTTTGCATGCCAATTTTCAAGGCGCTACTCGAAAGTTCGCAAAGTGTCGCGTTCTACCTTAAGTAGTTCTCTTTAAAAATTGATGTATCATTTATTTAAATGGGAACTGTAAATGTTTTACCTGCAGCCATAGACAAATGCATAAGCTTTCAGAAAATGTATTATTTTACTGATTTTGATGTCTGGTTAATAAGTTTTACTTGCTACAAGGTTTAAGTTTAGCAGGCACGCGTGATATTTTAACTGGCTAGGCAGTTGCCTATCTCTGTTATCTATGTCTCTGGTTAAAGGAGCAGTATAAAATCGAAGGCAGCATAAAAATATATTGTTTTTAAAGCTTGTTACTATTTTATATGTGTGCATTTATGTCTGGGATATTTCTTTACCTGCCTATTAAAATTAAAAAAGAAAGAATTATAAGACCTGTTATACATATCGATAGTTTTGCTTATCTGATGATACTTGTAATGTAATTGTAATGATGATGATGACAACGTTAGCATATGTAATGTCACAACAACTCCCTCCCCCAAAGGAAAAATGCATATCAGACCGTTGTTATAATTATTTTGTTCTTCTTTATAATCATTTGTTACAGATTTTATGATAACGACCCCGAATTCATGTCAATTTTACATGGTGCAATAATCGTGGTTTTATCTGTTTAGTTTTTTGTCCAGTCGTGATGCCATTTAAGCAGTTTACTTGAAATAGCTTTATAGCCTATAACTCAACCAGTCGGCATGTGTTTCTATTCAAATGAACGATCGTGCGTTACTTTGACACCATCTAAGCAGAGGTGCAAAATTGATAAGACTCAAGTACTGGATTGGATGGGTTTCCTTCTTTCCTTGTCTGTACACTAGCATGAATGTTATAACTATCAACTACGCTCCCTTCGCAGCTCACTAAATACACTCACGTTACTTCAGACAGTGAGCGATAGTGGAACATTCGACCGATGTGCAGGAGTGTATCAACAACGAGCGTCTGTAAATAGAGTCTCAAAATTCTTTTTTTAAGGAACATAACGTTGTGGGGTAAAAATATTGCAACAGCTTTTAGTGGCACTGCGGGGATCATTCTCGTCTTGCAGTAACAATACATCTATCTCTGTATATAACCGATGCAAAGCCAAACAAATGCGACAAATATGATTGAATAGATGCGCAGAGCAAACTTAATGTATCTCTATATCCATCCATCGTTCGTTAGTTCGTTCGTACTAATCCTAATCTATTTTTATCAAGCCTTATCTATAAACGCTGTCCGAAAAGTAGCGCACTCCACTTTACTTATCGCAAGTAGGACTAACTAAGGTTCTTGTACATATATTGATATTCCTAGGTTTATGAACTTTGATCTTATGTTTTTTACAGGTCACAATGACATTCAACTTTGACTTTTTTATCTCAAAGTGGCGTGTCATGTAGAACTTATGAATGTGATTACAACATGTTAGTGTCAAAGATTGAATACCGCTTAAGCCAGTACTAGGGGCATGAGAAATGTTGCACTTTTACATTATTTCTCATTTACAGGCTCAATTAAACCGAGTCCAATTATTTTCTTATTATAGTGTTGCTTTAATTGCTTCCAAGAGATTACCCGTTTTCCAGATTCACTACACCACGTGTGACATCGGTAAAATCATCCCAGGTACTTCGCCTCAGTGTTTTCTGGTCCTTCGGAATTCTTGATTTTAGCATGTTAGTGTTGAAGAATAAATACTGCTTAAGCCGGTGATAGGGGGCGTGAGGGATTTTGCACTTTTACATTATCATTATGAACAGACTCAATCAAACCGAGTCTGCAATTTTCATATTATATTGTTGCACACACGCACGCATGCACACGCACGCACGCACACGCACGCACACACATACACACACACACACACACACACAGGGTACTAGGTTATTGTAATATATATTGGAGTGAATATGATTGTCAATTGTTTACAACAAAACATAAATACATAATTTATCTTAAAGTATAAAGTATATATATATTGTACCTGAATATTTCAGATGCTCTGGCCATGTTAGCAGTTCCGTTGGAACGGCAATTGGTACATAATGTTCACAAGTATAAACAAAGCAATTTCCGGTGGAATGTACGAGATAATTATATTACGTTAAGACAGATAGAGGAGAGAAAGGACAAAGAATTTACTGAGTATCTAAAAACAAAGCAATATGAACCAAATAATAGAATTAATGTCAAAAGTCAAACAGAAAAAGATCTGCAGAAATTATCAATGGTTTTTAGCAATCAGTTAAGCATCGATACTTCTACGACAGAAAATACCTTCGATAAGAAAAATAATCAACCCTTAGCAATGGTCACAAAACGATCAGCAGAAAAGATGATGTACAATGCAAAAGATCCTCAGTCATCGACAATGCTGTTTAGCGACATATTTGATACAAATAGACATGAACCTTTGTCAATGGGAACAAAAAGATCACCAGAAGTGATGATGTACAATGCAAAAGATCCTCAGTCATCGGCAATGCAGTTTAACGACATATTTGATACAAATAGACATGAACCTTTGTCAATGGTAACAAAAAGATCACCAGAAGTGATGATGTACAATGACAAAGATCCTCAGCCATCGACAATGCAGTTTAACGACATATTTGATACAAATAGACATGAACCTTTGTCAATGGGAACAAAAAGATCACCAGAAGTGACGATGTACAATGCAAAAGATCCTCAGTCATCGACAATGTTGTTTAGCGACATATTTGATACAAATAGACATGAACCTTTGTCAATGGTAACAAAAAGATCACCAGAAGTGATGATGTACAATGCAAAAGATCCGCAGCTATCGTCAATGCTGTTTAACGACAAATTTGATACAAATAGACATGAACCTTTGTCAATGGTAACAAAAAGATCACTAGAAGGAATGATGTGTACAATGCAAAAGATCCTCAGTCATCGACATTGTTGTTTTAGCGACATATTTGATACAAATAGACATGAACCTTTGTCAATGGGAACAAAAAGATCACCAGAAAGTGACGATGTACAATGCAAAAGATCCTCAGTCATCGACAATGTTGTTTTAGCGACATATTTGATACAAATATACATGAACCATTGTCAATGGGAACAAAAAGATCACCAGAAGTGACGATGTACAATGCAAAAGATCCTCAGTCATCGACAATGTTGTTTAGCGACATATTTGATACAAATAGACATGAACCATTGTCAATGGGAACAAAAAGATCTCCAGAAGTGACGATGTACAATGCAAAAGATCCTCAGTCATCGACAATGTTGTTTAGCGACATATTTGATACAAATAGACATGAACCTTTGTCAATGGTAACAAAAAGATCACCAGAAGGAATGATGTACAATGCAAAAGATCAGCAGCCATCGGAAATGCAGTTAAACGACATATTTGATACAAATAGACATGAACCTTTGTCAATGGTAACAAAAAGATCACCAGAAGGAATGATGTACAATGCAAAAGATCAGCAGCCATCGGAAATGCAGTTAAACGACATATTTGATACAAATAGACATGAACCTTTGTCAATGTTTACAGTAACACCAGATACAAATAGACATGAACCTTTGTCAATGGTAACAAAAAGATCACCAGAAGTGATGATGTACAATGCAAAAGATGAGCAGACATCGACAATGCAGTTTAACGACATACTTGATACAAATAGACATGAACCTTTGTCAATGGTAACAAAGAGATCACCAGAAGTGATGATGTACAATGTCAAAGATCCGCAGCTATCGGCAATGCTGTTTAACGACAAATTTGATACAAATAGACATGAGCCTTTGTCAATGGTAACAAAAAGATCACTAGAAGGAATGATATACAATGCAAACGATCAGCATCCATCTACAATGCAGTTTAACGACATATTTGATACAAATAGACATGAACCTTTGTCAATGGTAACAAAAAGATCACCAGAAAGAATGATGTACAATGCAAAAGATCAGCAGGTCTCGACAATGCAGTTCAACGACATATTTGATACAAATAGACATGAACCTTTGTCAATGGTAACAAAAAGAACACCAGAATTGATGATGTACAATGTCAAAGATCCGCAGCCATCTGCAATGCTATATAACGACATTCTTTATGAAAATAGACATGGGCCCATGCCAATGGTTACAAAAAGAACACCAGAGGTGATGGTGTACAATGTCAAACATCAAGAGCCATCAAAACTGCTGTTTAGCGAGATTTTAGAAACAGATAAATATGAACCTTTGTCAATGGTAACAAAAAGGTCACCAGAAGGAATGATTTACAATGCAGAGATTGATGATAAAAACCCAACACATATAATGATTTGCGCTGAGAGCAATGTTTCTGCTTTTATCACGGTGAACAAGGAACTGACAAACGGGACTAATAAGGAGATACAGATTTTAAATAAAGAATTCAAAAACAGTAATACAAATCAGTGGTTTAAAATGGCTGATACATTCGTCAAGGAGGCACCTTTAGAAGAAAACATGTATTTCAGTAAATGGAAACAGACTATCTCTATTTTTGGGCATGATGATTTAACTCGACAATACTTTAAACTAAAATATCCAGCTTTAGGTAAAGAAGCAGTAATACGTGAAATTTCAAAATCCAATGTCTTTGAAAAACTGTTTTGGCCTTTTTCTTATGACATTGGTTTCATGAATCAAAAACTTGGTCTTCTTGGTTTCTCCGGATTGGTCGCAACACCAGAAAAACAGAAGCTTATGTTTTATGAAATTCTTGAAAAGTTCCAAACTCTAAAAATTCCTGTTCAGCGCAATAAGATGGTATACAGTTTCAATGATTCCCTTGTGATCGATGCATTAAATCGTTCTGGTCTTCAAGAAATGAGCAAAGAATATGTAGATGCGGGACTTCATGTGTATACATTAGAAGAACAAGCTTATATACTGGAAAAGATTGAAGCAGCGATGTCACTGATAAATGACACAATGCCAGAATTGCACAAAGTGATTAACCAAGTTGTAGCGGGCATAGCGTTTTACAAGGCAGAGCATCCGGGTTATGCAGGCGGGAGTGTCAGTTCAGCTCTCGGGCTTATTTGGCAAGATCCTAAATCATATAAGGAACAGACAGTGGCGCATTATGCCGAACAAATTGTCCATGAATTTATACATACATCTTTATTCCTTGCCGACCTTGTACATGGAACATTTACTGACTACAGATTGCTCTCCATGGCAAAGGTATATTCACCAATACGACATGAACTTCGAGATTTTGACAAAACCTTTCATGCTTCTTATGTTTCGACAGGTTAGTGTTTAATTATATTACCTTGAAAATATATAGCAAGTGGCATGTAAATGTAATACGAGCAGTGCTTGTTTTCCAAGAAACGTTCTGATTAACATTTTATAGTAGCGTTACTTAATACAGTGGTATTTGTTAAACTGATAAAATTTCTTTTATATTATGATGATTTTATTGAATAGATAAGCATTTCATGTGGACAAATATCAGTCAAGTGTATCTATTTTTTTCAAATATATAATTTTAATTGACTATGAATAGAATAATTCAAAATATCAAACAATATTGCACACGAATTTGCTTATAAAGGAAAGAATAAATCACGACAAACACATATTTTATTTTTTTAGATTTTATTTTGCAGTTACATGTAACGTAAAATATCTAATTTTTAAGGTCTACAGCAAGATTTTCCATAATTTAACAAAAAGGCGAAGAAGATCTTTGCCGCCTAATGTTTTACATTTTGTTGTATTTTTTATATTTCGATTAGATATAGTGAAATGCTTTTTCTAGTTTCCACTATCCAAATGATGTAAATGTATTTTTTATTTTAGGACTTGTTCTTTTCCATGCACGAGCTGGTAACTGGGAGAAAGCAGTTAAACTTGCTGAACCATTGAGAGCATCTGTAGAAGGTCTTACAATGTTAGATAATGAAGTGGGCGTACTGAATGATTCGGGAAGAGCCATGCTACAAGCCATGGAAGATTTCTTAATTCTAATTCGGCTCATGTGAAAATGTTAAGCAAAGTGTTATGTGAAAGTGTGTTATGCAAAAATATGATATAATTTAACATTGTGTTACTTTTGTTTAAATACTAGTATAATCAGGTATAGAATTGAGCCGCGTCACGACAAAACCAACATAATGGGTGTGCGACCAGCATGGACCCAAAACCACCCTTTTGCAACCCGGGCCCAGTCTTGTTTCAGGATCCATTTTGTTCGCTATCCAGTTTCCAAACTTTAAAAAAAGGGTTAAAAAAGCAAACAGAGGGGACCCCTGTTCAGACGCGGGGACCCATGCTGTCGCAAACGCCCCAAATTTTGGGTTTTTTTGTCGTGACGCGGCTCAATTAATTTGAATTTGAGAGAGATAAAAACTGAGCTTTTAAGTGTAGAATGAGAAAATCATTTATTAACAGAAATATTTTTACTGCCCGATGTATGTCCTAGAAAAAGGTTGCCACAATAATTTACAAACTGAATACAAACTGAACATGAAAAAATACTAGCTAGTGTGTGGGGTAAAAAAAAGAGTAAATATGATATATCTATAATTTTCATACCACAATGCAAATGATAAATGCACATTCATATTAGCAAATATTAAATGTTTTGTTAAAACATGATAAATGCTTTAAAAATTTTAATATAAATGCAACTTATGAAAGGGATGAAATACACGTTTGATTGATTTTGACAATGTCCTTTTCAGTACGTTAGTAAAATAAATAAATATACTGAATAATTACGCAATAATTTGCATAAGAAATAAGATGAAGAACTTATTGATAATGCAATTTGTACTTTGAATTAGATTTATTTATCATGAAATTCAATGCAAGATAAAATATGTGTCTCTCTGTAATATTTTGTTGAAAAAAAACAACATACATTATTTTGCTGGATACAGACCAAACATTCAATTTAAAGTCATTCAGCTTATTTTATAAATGACAGGCGATCGAGTTCCTTTTAATGAAATTACAGCTAAAAGCACCGGGGAAGTGCAAAAGCATTTGAGCCGCGCCATGACAAAACCAACATAATGCGTTTGCGATCCATGCTGTTCGCTGTCAGTTTCTCTACTTGTAATAGAGTTGGTAAGCGAACAGCATGGATCCTGATCAGACTGCGCGGATGCGCAGGCTGATCTGGATCCGTGCTGGTCGCAAACGCACTATGTTGGTTTTGTCGTGACGTGGCTCATTTATTTAAATTGATGAACCAAGACACTACGGTTTCATCACTATAGAATTAACTTAAAGTGACATGATGCTCATTCTGTCGGTGAGTTAGTAATATAGTTCAAGAGATTGACTATTAGTGATATTAGTGACTGACCAATAACTTATAATGAAAAATGTTTAGGATAAAACATTAAAACTACCCTTTTTTTCTTTCTTTTTTAAATAGATATGTTAAAACACATTTATTTTATAGTAATATCGGGCTATGTATTTTATCATGTGATGTTAAAATAAGAGATACTTTAACGATAATTCAACTCCAAAAGGGAAATCAAGGAATATATGAGCCGCGTCATGACAAAACCAACGTAATGGGTTTGCGACCTGCATGGATCCAGACCAGCCTGCGTGTCCGCGCAGTCTGATCAGGATCCATGCTGTTCGCTATTAGTTTCTCTACGTATTATAGGGTTTGTAAGCGAACAGCATGGATCCTGGTCAGACTGCGCGGATGCGCAGGCTGGTCTGGATCCTTGCTGGTCGCAAAACCATTATGTTGGTTTTGTCGTGACGTACTTATATGTATTAACATAAAATAAAGATAAATCAGTCATATCGAACCTTTCTACTACTGAGTTTGGGGTTATTACTAAATAATAGACGGGCGGCTATTAACCAACACTTGTACTAGTATTTGGCGTTCTTTTTAGAATGTAAATAGATTTTTTTCACAAATCCCAGACGATCTGAAGATGCTTTTTTACCACGAAATCATTTTTGTATTTTTTGTTACACATTCCCTTTTTTAAACGCTGTAGTGCCCTTTATTATCATCTGAGGGTTGGAAATATCTAGGCGTCTGATGTAACTCTTGGCTTTTTATAGTTCACGTCATAGAACGGGTATACTTTGGATTCTCTTGGTGATTGTACGGGTGAGTTTACAAACATGCGCTCAGATTCATGACTTCTATAAGAAGGTGGTCGTTCTCCAATCTGTAATCAAAGTTGTGTCTATATTAGGCAAATAACATTTCCAAACAATTAACAAAATTCAATTTTTATACCCATAACAACAGGTGTCAAGTGCTGTTCGGACCTGTAAAAGTTGTTCTGCACCTCAATACAAGGATGTTGCATTATTATAGTCTATCAGGATCATTGGGCTCAATTAATTTGGTTTTGAATGTGATCTCTGTTATTTTAGCTGATGCTAAGGGCTGTGAAAGTTGTTGAATTTTCATATCTCTCATGTACAGACAGAGTCTGCAATTTTCTAATTTTTTTTTAATTTGCTGTCGGTGCTATAGAGGGACTTTCCATTATCTGACAATCTTAATGAACAATCAAAATCTTTAACTAAATATATACTAGCAATACAGAGGTAACAGAATAGTAAAATATAAAAAAAATGAGCCGCGTCACGACAAAACCAACATAGTGCGTTTGCGACCAGCATGGGTACAGACCAGCATTCGCGCAGTCTGATCAGGGTCCAAACTGTTCGCTAACCAACTCTTTTACAAGTAGAGAAACTGATAGCGAACAGCATGGATCCTGATCAGACTGCGGATGCGCAGGCTGGTCTGGATCCATGCTGGTCGCAAACGCACTATATTGGTTTTGTCGTGACGCGGCTCAAATTATTCTATACAGTTATATCAAATCTATCATTCAACAGCTTTAAATAAATTATTGGCCCAAACAACAGTTTAAATATAATTCATAGGCGTGAATATAGTAAATGGAAGCATCATTCTGATAACCATAAAACGGCCACAATAGACGGCGACTTCGGTCATCTTGTGGTTACATGAAACAAAAACGCATATTAAGTCAAAATAATATATATGCAACGAGCATGCATTAATACAATAAGAACCATTTTATTAGAAATTGTTCCAATAGTAAATAATTAATACCCCATATAAGAAAGTTAGCTACTTGTGTAGGTATTAATTAAATTGGTTTAAAGATGAAGAAGCGACATATAAAACTTACCGTTGATATTGAAGTTAATCGAGATGATTTGTCGCGTAATCTTGGCCGTCCGTTCCTAAGTTTTTTATAAACACAGCATAGTGCGACAGACAGAGCAAATGCAAGAAGTACTGCGAACCCGGCGACGCCCAGGGCAACATATGTCAGAGTGTCAGTACCATCTGCAAAGATAAATTAAGGATTCATTTTTGTTACTAGTAAATAGAAACAGCGAAATGCTATTAAATGCTGAATAACTATTCTGTATACTGGATACACAAATGTAGACGACAGAAAACGTGAAAATAATATTGTATACGTAAAATGTTAAATGATAAGGTCGAACTATTTGGCGCTTAATGCAGCATGCCTCAAGATAAATGCTTTATTTAATTAAAATTTTGAAAATGTATTTAATTAAGTATTGTGAAGTGAACAAAGAAAATAATATATACATTGCTAATGGCATTTACAAGCCAAATAAATTACCAAAAAGAGGTCAAAATAAGCAAAATAGCGTTAGTCACGAAGATCATATAAGGTGATAAATACTGCAAAATCATACATTAGATGTATATCTTTTTTGAATCTTGAATCGTTTTACTTTTCTTAAAATCTTGGTACATTTTTCTCAAATTTGATTTTCTTGAAATATTTCTACTCACCCGGAGACGTGCAACTTTAATATGAAATTGTGTATTCATTCATTCATTCATTCATTCATTCATTCATTCATTCATTCATTCATTCATTAAATTCATTATTCATTAAAAAAAAATAATCATAACATTGTACTTTTCAAACGATTATACTGATAAGATTAATTAACAAACGCGATTTAAACGTTTACTAAACTTCCTTTTATCAGCAATTTTGATAAATTGCCGAAAATATCATTATTAATATTTGTATACTAAACTTTTCTTTAAACCATTTCAATGCAATGTTCAATAGAATGTATTCAATTTACACTTGTCAACGATGCATGGGGGAGTTTTTTTTTCTTTAAAGATATTTTGACAGCCCATACAAAAACATGGAGAAAATTATGAATATGAATGCTTTGGGATGGTTATACTGTAAAACACTTCCTTATAACCGTGAAATTTTAAATTATCATTTAATACTTTGGACCGTTTTTACAAAGAATATCGGTATAAATTATGTCATACTTATTGAATTGAGTACTAAATACAAACCTGAACTTGAACTTGAACCGGAAGAACTGGAATCGGAAGTTGACCCTGACGCATTAGATGATGATATCTACAACAGATATGACTACAATAATACATAATTTACATAGTTTATTATCATTTTGCAAACATGTATTCTTATTTGGAGAGATACCTTATCGTTATATAATGCAAGAAGATTGTCTGTCTTACAATGCTAAATGTATAAATGGATACATCATAATATGACGATAGACTGTTGAAATATATAATAAAAATACTCACATTGACGAATCTGAACAAAAATTAAGTTGGCGTTCAACTATCAGAAGCGCCAATCGTGTTTTACTAGTGTAATATCTATTGTCATGATCGGTTGGTTTAACAATTACTGTAATTACAATCAAGAGACATGGAATTGATGCAAATAAGTTTTCTCGCTTAAATTATATTTAATATGTAAAAGCGCCCCAAAAAAGATCAAATCACAATATCCCGATAATATGCGCCATTGCACTTGATGACTGTCATAAATTCTTTGAAAGTTTGTTTGATATCATTTGAGAAGTGTAGAAGGAGTTGCCCATGAAAGAAAATATTTACACTAAGAAAATTGAATGTATACCAGCCAAACATATACCAATCTAATTAATAACCAGATTTTTCGTTTGAGTACCTCGGCAGATCATGTTTTGTTTGATTTTTTTTCGTCTTTTTTCTGCCAACTTGCAGTCCTATTATAGTGTCAGCTTTTAGCTATATTTTGTTTCCTTTGAGTATAATAGCAAATTATCGAGTGCGTTAAGATAATTTCTGCGATTCATTGTAGTTTTATAATTTATGCAATCAAGACTTTCCGTTTGTCACATGAAATGCGACAAACAAATGTGACGCAACGTGTGTGTTCCTTTAAAATAAAGAGAAACTCTTAACATAAACAATTTTCATATAAAAAGATGACTAGGTTTTAGGTGAGTATGATTTTGTAAGTTTTACGTATTCTAATTTGGAGATATACCTTTTTATCGTTATATGAAACAAGAAGATTTTCTACCTTACCATGCTAAATATATGAACGATAGACTGTTGAAATATATCATATAACAAAAAGTTCACTTTGAATATTCTGCATATAGATTGAATAAATGTGAAGTTGGAGTTCAACTGTCAGAAGCGCCAAACTGGTTTAATATTTACTGTAATAATCAGTTGGTTTAACATTTACTGTGATCACAATCAAGAAACAGGGAATTGTCTCAAGTTCTATCACTAAAATTACATTTGATATGTGAAGGAAATAACCATAAAGCGCACTAATTCTGTCCAAAAAAAAGATCAAATCACAATATCCCGATAGTATGCGCCAGGGTACTTGATGACAATCATCAATTCTTTGAAAGTTTGTTTGATATCATTTGAGAAATGTAGAAGGAGTTGCCCATGAAAGAAAGTGTATTGAATGTCTGGCGCCAAACATACACCCATTTAATTAATAACCAGATTTTTCGTTTGAGTAACTCGGTAAAATGTATTCGACAGATCATGTTTTTTTTCTGCCAACTTGCAGTCCTATTATAGTGTCAGCTTGTTATATATTTTGTTTTCTTTGAATATAATAGCGAATTATCAAGTGCGTTAAGATAATTTCTGCGATTCTTCGTAGTTTTATCATTTATGCAATCAAGACCTTCCGTTTGTCACACCAAAAGTGACGCAACGTTTGTGTTGTTTTAGAATAAAGAGAAACTCTTAACGCATACAATTTCTGAAAAGTGGACTAGGTTTTAAGTGAGTATAATAAAACTTCTTACCGAGCTTATACACCCGAGAGAAGCGACCACTCTGCTTAGCGGTATACCGTTGTAGGCTGCTGGTGTTGTACACGTGACGTCAATAGTAACACCTTATAAACGAAATGCCATATAATTTTAGAAAATATATACGAAGTGGACAAAATTCATTAGAGTGTTGATAACAATTATCGGTGATTTAACATTTTATTGTACAATATGGGAATATATTTGAACGAGTACACAGATGGTCGAACCGCCAGACGGGTCTTATATGATTCCTCAAGCTGTTTAAGTGTCCAAATGTATTCCGTATTGTACCTGTACAATGTTTGATAACCTGTTTATTTTATATATAAATTATACTGAGAAAATTAATATTTCTACTTTTTCGATAGCGACAACACAACCTATATCGTTATCCCCTTCGTCTTGTCGCTAGCGAAATGGGTCAAACGGCGCATTATCGCACTGTCATCTTGTCGCAAGCGAAACACGCCAAACGGCGCGTTATCTGGCGGCTCGTTGTCGTCCTGTCGCTTGGCTTATATATATACTAAAAGTACGCACGACAACGCGGCGTTTGGCCTCCATCGTTAGCGATAGGTCGACAAGACGACAATGGGACAACGTGCCGTTTTGCGCTTTTTCGTGCTGTCGCTAGCTACAACACGACAAAAAAGTGTTCCAAATCAGCCACCGTATTTAAGCCTTACAGGTAATGGATATATATTCTTTATAGTAAATGGATTAATATGAACATGAACATACGAAAATGAGAGATTTCAAAATTGCAACTTTTACGTGATCTTCTAAATTAATGTTATTGAAAAAAAATCAACGTCATGAGCGTATTTTTTATTTTATAAGGAAAAATCGTCAAACATACTGAATCGGATTCGAAAAATTAATTTATTATTTTTCTGGTAATGATCTCTCTTTATATTGATATTATATACCATACCTGTATAAAGTGACCACGTAGATAGCCAAGCCAAATCACATGTACAATCCCATGAGTTTGTGCCAAGTTCCACTGTTGACAATGATATAAGCGACGTAAACATTCCTTCCGGTAATGTTGTAAGCGAGTTTTCCGAGAGGTCAATTTTTGTAAGAAGTGCCAAATTGGTAAAAGTGTCTGCTGATATACTTGAGATGCCTGAGGATCTCAAATCTATTTCTTGTAGCGCACTAAGGCTTGTGAAAAGCCCAGCAGGTATATCAGCATCTAGAAAGTCAGCATTTATTATTATCTTTACAAGATTTGTTAATCCAGAAAACACGTCTGATGAGAGGGGACCTATGATACCTCCGTCAACTGTAAACTCTTCCAGACCAGTCATGTTTGAAAGCATTCCACTCGAAATACCTGTGAAATAATAATAATACAACGAGCGTGATAAAGAAAAAAACTTTCCGCCTTAGTTTTAAAGACCTTCATCCGCTAACAATCACTCAAAATTTGCTTATGTTTAAATGTAATGAATAAATACGTTTCTGATGTATGTACTCACTAAAAATCGGTAAAGGATTAAGGAAATAGCTCGAACACTTTTTTGAAATTAAAAAAAAAGAAATCGAAGAAATGTTTTCAGTTCCTAAGTAATTATGAAGTTAATAGCCTCACAGTCACGACATTCTCTATAATAATTATATTAGTTTTTCGGTATTCTGTAACAAGTCTGACTGTTGAAAAAAATTTATTCTCTGATTAAGGATTCTCAAACTAGAAATGCACGCACATAGGAATGCCTCCTTTATAAAGAAAATGTACAAATCTTTATGGTACTAAATGTGCAATGGAATAAATTATAACAATATTCTATGTATGACCATTCAAACATATTATACATAATGCGCAATGTAATAAATTATAACAATATTCAATAAACAATTACATATAATACATAATGTGAAATGGAAATAGTTGTAGCAACATTCCAGGCACGGTTCTCACAAAATGTGCAATGGAATAAATTCTAGCAATATTCAACGTACGTTTCTATATAGAACTAAATTATCACCTTAATTTATTTAATTACAGCAATATTCAATGTACGAGTCTTTATAAAACTACACATGTAAATGCGCAATGGAATAAATTCTAGCAATATTCAACGTACATTTCTTTATAAAACTAAATACGCACTTTAATTTATTAAATTACAGCAATATTCAATGTACGAGTCTTTATAAAACTACACATGTAAATGCGCAATGGAATAAATTCTAGCAATATTCAACGTACGTTCCTTTATAAAACTAAATACGCACTTTAATTTATTAAATTACAGCAATGTTCAACGTACGAGTCTTTATAAAACTACACATGTAAATGCGCAATGGAATAAATTCTAGCAATATTCAACGTACAGTTCTTTATAAAACTAAATTCGCACCTTAATTTATTAAATTACAGCAATATTTTATGTACGAGTCTTAATAATACTACATGCGCAATGGAAAAAATTCTAGCACTATTCAATACACGGTTCTCATTATACTAAAGGCACAAAGGAATAAATTAAAGCAATATTCAACGTACGATTCTTTAACATACTATATGCCCAATTGAAAAAAAATTTGCAATATTTAATTATCTATAGACAGTTACCATCTTGAACGTAACAATTCTTAAAAGTAAGATACTTCATCCAGCTCAGATTAGGGGTAAATACTTCCGGTGACAGTAAGATATTTTCTAGAGTACACTCAAACTTTATCCCGGTGTCTTTTGTTGTATTTTTGTTGTCGTCAATTCCACTGAACGCCTGAAGAAATTATAAAACAAATCGAAGTGCATTTTTTATTATTTATATCAATTATTATTAATGTTAGGTGTTTTTGATTACATGCATATATTACGTATGTTTTGTCCTGTGTAAATATTGTTTTAGTTACGTGCATTATAACACTGAACGCTTGTTTGTTATACAATATAAATCTCAATTTATTAACTTGTATGTTTGAATTGATCAATCTTTATTGATTTATTAATTAGTTGGTCAATTACATTATTAATATTCATTTAGTCAAATTGATAAAAACGGAGAATATATTATTATAAAAGGTTTCATACCTGATTTGGTATAGTTCCGTCCACATTTTCAACAATAATTTGATAAACATCCCCCGGTCCAAAGTCTCCCTCGTCAAGCGGCGGACTCCAGCTGGCAAAGTCACAAGTGGCTTTACCAGTTCCCCCGCCAGTTAGGTCACATCCCGTCGGTGCATATTCCGATGTTACACTGTTCAAAAAGCACAAAGTGAAACAAACAAAAATCATGCGTGCCTGTAACATTTTGTTACAATAATGATTTTTTTAAATAAAGTGTACATTCAAAGCATTAAAATATTTTCAGCCTAACATTGTTGGACCTGTAAACAGTGTCAAATTTCTTTGTGACAAGGCTAGGCTTTGAAAGTTAAAGTTCTATGTTTCTTTACTAGATATACCATATAGTCCATTACCGCTCTACTTAAAGGCACAGACAGAAATGCTTTTATGATATAAATATTTACGATACGGACAGTAACGTTGTATTTTCTTTTGATGATGTTGTTGTTTTTTGAACTTATGTAGCAAGAAATTCAAAACATGCGGGTGTTAAAGACATGTAAACTTTTATAAAGATGTAAAATGGACTATGTTTAGGTAAAAAATTTGTTTTCTGTAACTAAAGCAGTTATCAATTTTAAGTTTTTTTGTTTAATTTGGTACGTTTGAGTAATGACGAGGAACTGTTATGTTCAAGTCTAACTGAATAATAAATTATGATCTGTTCTGCTGAAAGTGTTAAAACATGTACAACAAACTGACTTATTATGTAGTTCTTTTTCCTTTCTTTTTTAATGTTGTTTCTTTTGTTGTTGTTGTTTTCTTGTTATTTTGATGTTGTTGTTTGTTTGTTGTTGTTGTTGTTGTTGTTGTTGTTGTTGTTGTTTTCCTGCTGATATACTGAAGGTTTGATACAAAGTTATTATGATTATAAAACAAGGTATAAATTAAAATGAAATGATGCTTTTAGTGACATCTTTTTATTTTAATTCAATTGAATTGATTGAATTTTATTTTAATGTTTGCCTTTTGTTCCACAAAAAGAAAAGAAAAAAATCATACGAGGCTCAACATGGCAACTTTTAATTACAAGGTTTAACTTGTTTTAAGAACAGTAGAGCTACAAATTATGTAGAACGTCATAGTCACTTTCTGTGTCAGTTTATTCACCATTTTATTTTTCTTTATCATTTGATTTTTTTTTTCAACTGTGCCGATCTTGACCAATATAATTTATTTGTTCAAAGCTACTTGATTCTTTAGCTTCCATTACAGATGTTTAAGATGAAGTTTTACAACATTCTCAATTAGTTTTTGGGCTAATTCATTAATTACAAGTTCCATGGTCTGAAATCGGAACTATTTGTACGTTATCTTGAACGAGCGTCTATTCTTTTGTTTGCTATTCAAGGAGGCTTAACCCTGGCCATTCGTTACAATAATATCAATGAGTAAGAAGTTGATCCAAGAGATTAAATATATTAACTGAGAGTTCACCCGATTCCTAACACCCGTTGTCCTTGATTATTGATAGAGACTATATAATTAATGCTACTATTTGATATCGGACAAATACCTGATTTTTATTATATCAGAAACTCAAATATGAAAGAGAAACATATTGCGCAAGATATATATCTTTATTTTAGATAAATAGTCATGTAAATATTAGCAATTAGGCGTGTTAGTTTCAAATTGATATATCAAAGGGAGAAAGAAAATATGACAATATAATTACTATAATTATTTTTAGTATATATAATTGTCGGAAAATGACACTGAAAAGTAAAGGTTTTATAAATCTCAGGAGCAAATTATTAGTGAATTAATCAAAATATATCTGAATTCATATATGAGCCGCGTCACGACAAAACCAACATAATGGGTTTGCGACCAGCATGGATCCAGACCAGCCTGCACATCCGCGCAGTCTGATCAGGATCCATACTTTCCGCTATCAGTTTCTCTACTTGTAATAGGGTTTGTAAGCGAACAGCACGGATCCTGATCAGACTGCGCGGATGCGCAGGCTGATCTAGATCGCAAACCCATAATGTTGGTTTTGTCGTGACGCGGCACATATGTAAAAACGAATATCCATTCATTTTACTCGTAGCAGGGATAAACTATAAACACTATAGAAACTATGCAGTTAATAAAAAAAATACAGTTTCAATTAGATAAAAGTTTTGTCTTTTAACCAAATGTTAAAAATAATATTAAAGAAAAGTTACAAAAATAATTATGCAACGTTAACTCGGGCCCTTCTGAATACGAAGAACATCACTGATTTTTTTAGAAAGTTAAGCAAAAAATGCTCTTGAAACGGCTTAGTATGTATTGTATACGTATGATTCATCAAGGTGACTGATAATTTTGGTAGCATAAAGGTACATGTAAATTAATAACTGCGAAATGAGTAAAATTGGAAGAAAAAAAATACACGAAACCACATATTTATTTATTTTAAGAAAATGGAAGATGTTTCTTTACGTTTAATCCAATTTTATTTTAGAATTTTCAGTCTCCGTGTATAGATCTATAAGGAATATATTTTCAAAGTACTTAGGACTCCACTGAGGTTTAAAAGCCTATAAACATTACATTTTAATTTCTAACATAAATGAGCTGGGACACTTTATACAGAAATATATGCAAAGAAAGTTAAGAAATATACTTTGAAATAAATTGAAAATCGTATTTTTATGCTTTTCTTAGCCCGATTTGAGTGAAAAATTTTGTTTTGCAATAAGAATAATTATTCTGGAAAAACAAGGTGCGCGAATGATCTGAAATTTTGCACAAAGATTAGTGGTCTAAACCTACATCAAATGGTACATTTATCTGGAAAAAATATTTTCAGTCCTATCATGTTAAAAAAACCTCAAACCCTTTTAATATTGATAAAATATTGATAAAACAACAGAATATATGAGCCGCGTCACGAAAAAACCAACATAGTGCGTTTGCGACCAGGTATATGTGATTTAGTTTAAACGTTTACATGATAAATAATGATAATGTGCTCTAGAACAATTTATTATTTGCTATTATTATATACAAAATATTATGCCGCTTTCACGCTTACTATCTATATGTACATGGATTTCCCTTGTTATTTGTTGTCTTTATACAGAATAAAGCAAACACTAATCCTTTATGGAAATGTGTGGACTTTAGTGTTATAGCCACGAATAAAACCAATAATAAAGGTAAGGTTTGTCAGATTGCCCTTAAAATGACATGAATGCACACGAAAAAAAACCTCAAAAACAAAAAAAAAAACTCGAAAATGAGGTAGGTGATCAAAATACTTTTCAATTAAAATGTTCATATTATCAGTTATATATTCATCTATTATCATACAAAATTTACATAAACTTCTGATCTGTCGTATGGCTATATGCAACTGTAGTGTCCACCTTAAACTACATATGAGTTATGTACCTTTAAATATTCAAAATCGATTATTACATTGCCATCCATTTTGAAATTCAGTAGTTAAAATTCAGTTTAGTTGTATAATTAATAAGATTTAAATTTGTCGATTTCTAATAGATATCTCTCCATTCATTCGATCAATTAATCAGGTGGTTTATATCATTTATACAGTACCGTGTCTTTTGATCCTATATTTCTTCCAATGACTGTACATGTACCTTACTTGGGAGTCTATATATTTTAACTTGTACCTTACTTACCATAACAGGAAGTAAACTTGTTTAAATATTGTGCTTTATAGACTTCATTGAAAACTGAAATCTTAAACTATTGAAATACTTGTAAGCTCGGTCACATTTTATTCAATCGTGAAATTTCGCGTTTCTTGAAAGCATGCAAAACAGGAAAATGGTTTTAACTTTATTTTTCACTGTGATTTTGTACGTTTCTGTAATAAACGGAGCTCTGAGTACTTTGTCATGTAGACAAAATACAAACGCAATCATAACATGTAATCATATACCGAAAGATATCCCGACAGGAATTTTAGAATTTCGTTTAGAAATAGAGACACCTGGCGCATGGATATTTAATTCATCAGCCTTTGCTGCGGACAGCTGGAGAGGATTAAACAGTTTGAAGGTGACAGATAATCATCCTAATGATCGTACTCCTGTCGTATTAAGTGACAAGTCCTTTGCCAATCTTCAAAACCTGCTTGCATTACATGTTCATATATGGTATCCGGAATTATTCCCACAAACTTTTTTTGGATTACAAAATGTTAAAACCCTTGATCTAAGTGGTTGCATCAAATTGAACATAGACAGTTTAAAATTGGCTTTAAAAGGGCTAGATATTTTACCAAAATTGGAGAATATTATTCTTTCGAACTGGAATTTGTATGAAGGTGGTTTCGCATTTGATAGCGACTTCGTAGACACTCTTCTTCCGAGGAAGATCAGTTCCATAGATGTAAGTAAATCGCAGCTGTACTTTATCGACTGGAATGAGGTTTTTAAAAAACTCAAGCATTTGAGAGAAGTTAATGCCTCATATGCGATAATAAGTGATTGGGCTGACTACAGTCTAACACGCGATGACACTAAGCTCGTTAAGATTCTTGATGTATCACATACAACTTTACCTTTGAAAGCAGTACCATTTGTTCCAGGAAGATTCGTAAGCAGAAACCAGAAATTATTTTTCTCTAACAGTCGAGCTTTGAAAGACCTAAGGAGTTTCTTAGCAATTGAAACTGTAAACCTAAGCGATGTCCTACACCATATAGGCTCTTTGTGGCTCTATAATTCTACATTGATAGTAGATGAAGACCCTATGTTATCTGTAAAAAACATTAGACTTGGGCAAAATAAAATAAAGAGACTTGATGTTCGAATATTTTGTGAACAATTTTGTTTTTCATCAGTTCAGACGATTGACCTATCTGGCAATGGACTTGAGTTTTTACATCCAACAATCTTATCTTGTCTTGGAAACATAACTAGTGTAGACTTGTCAAAAAATCAGCTGTTTAAAATGGTAACTGAAAATGAATCTATGTTCCAAAACCTGTTTTCACAACTAGAATATCTTAGGATAGTTCGGATTTCAGAAAACGGTTTCCATAGTATTCCTCGTGACGTCTTCAAGGACAATCCATTGATTGAAGAAATTGATCTTTCCTATAATATATTAGAACAGATAAACTTTGATTTAAGAAGCCTCGATAAACTTAAAATCCTTAATCTGAAAAATAACAACATTCATGTTTTGAATTTTGATTCGATTAATCTTTTAAATACAATATCATGGAGCAGAAACGTTCGCGAGTCTAAAACAAACGTACTTTTGCAGTCGAATCCAATTTCCTGCTCAGTCTGTAACGCAAAAGCTTCCCTTCAATGGATTTTGACAACAAGTCTGATCAATATAACATTACAACAACTGAAATGTGAAGGTGAAAATGACAAACAATACGACATAAATAAAAATACTTTGGAAATGGTACAAAATATATGTAAAAGGAGAACAATTATTATTTCTTCCTGCACCGCGACAGCCACATTGCTTCTTTTGGGTCTTGTTATCGTATCGGTAATGTACAAACGATACAAAAGAAGCCAAAAGGAAAGAAAAACAGCCAAAGTGATAAATAATTTATGGGAAGGGGATGGTCGGTCTAAATTCGCTTTGTTTTTATCGTATTCTAGTGACGACGAGGAATTTGTTAAAACAAATATTCTTCAACAACTGGACGAAAACTTGAAGTTAATGACGGGGATAGATAGACAATTGGTATGTACAGGAGATTTCAATTTTCGTCCTGGGTTCCATCTTCATGACGAAATAGACAAACTGATAGAGGAAGCTTCGGTGATGACAGTTGTCGTATCTAACAACTTCATCAATAGCAATTACAGTTGTAGTGAGGTCAACCAAGCTTATAGGCATGGGATGTAGAAGAAGGGGACATGGAAAAGGTTCCGGTTATGAAAACTTTGTTCAAGAGAAACGCTAGAATTCTTTGGAGCTTAGAAAATGGGGAACCAGTTCTTAAAACGTCTTGGGAGCATGTGAGCAGGTCTATACTTGACCTGATTGAATTCAAAAATAAGTGAGGACTATACTCTGAAGTATTTATCATTGCTTTGATTGAATTTCACTTACCATGTTAATTTATTTATGTTAAAGGGTATAACGCTATATCTTATTACATTTTTGTATAAAAAAAATCCTGTAAGTTTTGATCAATGTGGTAAACCACATTAAGTGAAATTATATATGTGCACATAATTATGCAAATAAAACAATTTTTAAACATTGAAGAATGTGTAAAATATGTACTACTGCAAATATTTGTGCATATTATATGTAAACATTGAAATATACGCATTCATTTCTTATTGTAAAATTTGACTTAAACTTGATAGAAAATAAAGTTTTTATTACCTCCCTTTATTTACATGAAATTTTAAATTCGATAATATCTTTATAAATAATGCTTTTTGGAACCTACAATATTGATAAATCTAAATTTGAGCATCATATTTATGATTTAAAACCATAAAATATGTGTTACATGATCTTTAAATATCAACAGTAAAACAATTTTACTTCAATTATCTTATGGTTGATTCTTGAAAGTGTAGTAAGAAAGAATGTTTCCGTCATTTAACACACATGTATATTGTACGTAAACGAAATAAAACGTCACGGAAATAATATTTAGTTATTTTAAGGCATTTTACAACCATATTTCTTTCATAGTATTCTTCTTTATAATTCGAACAATAATTTTTGCAATAGATGTATAGCTTTCTAAATATATTATGATAATGAAACGGGCCGGTTTAAATTATTTAAACGTGTCTTAACATGAATTTCAATAAAAATGCATACTTAGTTTAAAGTTAATAGTTTTAACATTTGCTGAGAAATTAGACCTTATCAAAATGTTAACCGACGCCGACGCCATTCCCGACGCCTTCGACAAGTGGGGCTAAAGATTAAAATTGTATATACTAGTACATGTAATTTATATTTAAAATGATGTTCTTATCTACTTTGAAGATAATTGAAATATTTCTTATTATATATTAAAGAAAGTATGTTTACTATAAAGCTAATTCAGTTTTTAATGGATGTGAAAATGTGATTTTATATTATCAAAGATAGATCAAATCAAATTAATTTATGAAGATATTTAATAGCGATTAAAACATCTCTTGCCGCATAGAGTATTGACAATATATACAGAAAGAATTGCAATCACAGGAGCTCATCTTGCACTTAAAAAACATTCAAATACCTTAAAGGCACATTATGCCTCAGAAACAAACAAAGTTTTACTTCCCTGGAAAGGGCAAACATGAGTGTTTCAACATTTATATAATGAATTTAGAGCTGTTATACATGCTTGATACATGTACTTGAAGAAAGTAGAAGTAAATGTAAAATTATTTGCCATAAAAGTAGCAAAATGTAAACAAAGTAGTATTTTGACTTCCATACAAGATACTAAATCACTGTAACAAGACCAATTGCCAAATAGCAAAAGAAGATAAAGTAAGGTCAGGTAATTGGCCAATGAGTATCTTTTTGGAAACTATACAAGTACTCCAAAAATAAAAAGCTTTTTACTTTTAAGGTTGGTTTTAGAAATAATTATAAAAGCATTTATTGTGCATAATGGGCCTTTAACATAAACTAGTATCATATTACTCTGATTTTTTTTCTTCAATACAACAATTATACCCGTTTGTTAGGATTAGATATTTTCCGTTAGCCTTAACCAAACTTTTCATCCGTAATTTGATCGTTAAGATATAAATGGATTAATGTACTTTCACTTCCTGGTTGATATTTGCTGAAATTGTATAGAAATTATAGATTTACTTTAAAATTGTAATTTCCATGTACCTGCATGTTTGTATGGGAGAGGGGTCAAGGTGGGGGGTAAATATAAAGTGGAAAAACAACAATTTTCGTTGTGATTGATCATGAAATCCTCTCTATGGTCATTCGCACTGTACCTCTGCGACTGTTTGTAAATTACATTGTATAACACATTGTTATAATAACAAAATACATGTATACTATTCAACCTTTACCGCACCAACTGTTTTTGGTGTGAATATTTACGGCAATAATTTGATAACCGTCGTACAAAAAGATTTTTGATATAAATTTCATGTTTAATCAATTTAAATGAAGGACAATTAAACATTTTTTTACAGATTTGCATTAGGTATGTGTAAGAGAAGACCTCTACATCTAAGATTTTTGGTCACGCAACTTGTGTTCCAAAGTTTCACAAGCTCATTCATGATTTACAAGTTACTCAGGCCCGATATTCACAAAGATTTAAGGATCAGGATCAAGATCAGGATAAAATTTAAAAACTCTAATATTCTTCATTTTTATCCTCATAGATTAAATATCTAATCTTAATTTGATAAAACTGGACTTGTCCAATAGCAATTTTATAAAATTTTAGAATAAATTTATTGTTATATTTGCAAGATACCGGCATTTTACAGTTGAACCAAATATTGATCCTGATTCTAAAAATAATCCTTATTTTGATCCGGTTATTTTGTATTTGTTTTGTTATTTGTTTTTTTTAAGTGGTTAAAATTTATTAGTATGTACATGTATTTACAAAATTAAATTTAGACTGACCAATTTAACTTTGTTAATAAATCTAAACCTGTATAAATTTCAATCCATTTCAAATTATGGTGCAATTTCTTTAGTTGGGCTTAAACAAACATTTTAAAGTGATATTATGCCCTTCCAAGTGTAAATTATAAGTGTACCTGTTGAGTGTTTGTAGATAAAAATTAATAGAGCTAAACATTTTGTTGTTATTGTTTTCCTGTGCAAAAATAAATTAATAACTCGCATGACCTAAAAATAAATTAATAACTCACATGACCTAAGGAAATATCTATGAATATATTTTGTAATTTATCAGTAGCTGCAAGCATTCACTTAAAGGCACTCTTTTGTTATTTGTTGATTTTATCCCAAAATGGTTTCTTTGCAAATCAGCAATTTTTTTTAATTTTGAATATTTACCATTTAATTCTAGCAAAACACGATTAATTTTAGTAACATAAAACAATGGAAAAAATCAGGATCACTTCATCCTCATTCTGATCTTTTCTTAGTGAACACAGGACCTGTAGCGTGTGTGTGACACATTGCTAAAGACAACCGCTTGGCAGGTATTTCCAGACTCTCGCACGTCTGTCCGTTAATTCTATGCAAAACCTTGACTTTCAGTGAAGAGAGCGAGTTTCTGGCCTCTCTGGTGTACCAAACATGTTCCCTTGCCCATTCCAAGTGCGACTTGTAGTGACGACGAGTCAATGGAATTCTTATACAGGGTCTTCTTGACGCAGATGACCTTTTACGCTACATCTTAATACATGTACAAACATTGACTCCAGAAGGATTAAGGTCATTACAATGATGTTTTACTGTTGCAAATCGTCCTTGATCTGGATGAGTCTGGATAATCAAGAATTGGTCTTAAGCAGCTAACGTCACCCTTTGTCTGCCTCCACCATGCCTTCTGACGGGTGTATCACACTGCTGGTATCTTGTCCAGGCTCTCATGATAATGTCGAAGTGTACACCAAGCGCCACAGCAACCTCACGGTGTTTGTTGACCACTCGCTTTTGCACCACCATAACCTCCATATCTCTGCTTCACTCAAATGCAGTACCTATAGCATCTGCCATGTCAAAGTGACCAATGTAAAATGTCTGACCTTTGAATGACCATAAATTTGTTATACCGTGGTATAGAAGGGGGAGGGGTACATGCTTTCCTTCCCCAATTTGCATTCAGGTTGGGGGCTTTCTCAAAACATTGCTGAATCAAACGAAATGCAAAATAAACAAGTGAATCTGTATCATAACGGATATTGTGACGTGATTGAATTCACTCGATGATTATGCAGACGGTGGTGAAAGGAAAACATGTAAATTTCTTTCACTTCTTTAGTTTTAGCATACGAGTAATCAGCGTTAAAATATTGTTATGTCACTGAAGTAAAAGTTGAGGGTATTTTGCAAGTTTGCCAGAAATATTTTCAACAAGAAACTATAATATAACAGGATGACATTTATTTCGGCAATGAAACTGTATTTCCTCGGTAACGTAGATTTCAGATCTAATAATGTAACATATTGGCTGCCTATTAATAACATCTGTCTGTAAAATATATCAAAATCTGTAAATTCTCTATCTGGAGTGACTTTCTAACCCAGGAAAATTCAAGAAAGTTGGGTACCTCGCTAATTTTCTGTTTATTTCTTCACAGTAAAGCAAAAGGAGTCAATTTTGGAAATGATTATTTTATGTCTTCATTCAAAGGATATATATCATATATAATATATGAGATGTCGAATGCATATACAAATGTTGTATATAGCAACCTTTTTTTCAAAATAATCAACTTTCCACTTTCTTCACATTCGGAAAATTTATTGCTAAGCAGTTCTATATGTATCCACATGTAACATGTCACGTATGTTTCATTGTATTCAAATTCAAGTAAATATTAAGAAAACAATTTAGTTTTTGTAAATTAATTTATATTTTTGGATATTATTTTATCATAATTATCTATAGAATGAAATACGGCGAGTAAGCTCTTTGCAGAAACGAATTAGTTGTTGTTGAGAACTTCAATATCTTGTTATATATTTTAACATTTCTGCTGGTACATCAACCTAAATTGTGTAATTTCTGTTTCGCTCCTAATTGTTTGAAGTTTGTTACTATTTATTTATACGCATTTGGCGACATTTGATCATCCATGATATTAATGAGGTTTTAACAGTCAAATATAATTTTACTAATAATCAAAGTGCATATTCCTGCAGCAATGACTTATAACACATGTTTCGTTTTTACTAGAACTTATTTTTCTGAAACACAATTTCAA